CATTAGTATTAATGACCTACTCGGAATAAAGGATACCAGAATTATTATATCATGAAAATGACAAATTTCTATTTGAAATGATTATATGAGAAAGAAAGGGAGTTTTAGGCTCCTGCAAAATATTATTGTTGTGCAAAATGCATTGTTTTTACCTGTGAATCCCAGATTTTTCTGAAATAGTTAAGACTACGGAATAGTCAGCCGATGCAGAGAACAGACGCTATTTGGCTCTGGTAGTTAATCATGGTTCTAAGATAACCCATTAGCTCTGTCTCCACAGTGCAGCAATGTAGCAGAGCTAAAGCACTGCTCTGTTCACGTTTATTCAAATATCAGCAGAATAGAAATGGATTGAGGTTTCTATAGAAACCACTTGTGGTTTCAGGTGTTTCTCAAGGCATTTTGTTCCATTAACTGTTTGGAGAAAGAAGGTATGCATTATGGCTTTTCATTAATGGTATTTTCCCCTCCTCGTTAGAAGCTGGTCGGTGGAGTTCCCACTTTCTTCTTTGTTTTACCACATTTTTGGCAGCCCCTATGCCAGCCTTTCCCCTCCAGCTGAGAAACTAGAATGAGCTACTTCTAAAGCCCATTAGCAGTAGCTGTTCAGACAGCATTTCTTCTCTTTTGGCCAGAGAGGAAATTTGAAAGTCTCCAATCTGGAAATTTACGTAACACCTTTTCTTAGGCAAAATTTATATGAAATCCCTCCAACATGTTGCCAATACAAGAGGTTAAGCACAATAGCAATGACTACAAACAACAACAAGACAAGGGAGCAGGTGTGTTTGTGAGATTTAGTGGCGTTAGTAAGATTTTCACTGTAAGCCCAAGACTGAAGATAATCAAATCTTGCAATCCATATACTAGTTAATTAGCTGCCTGGAGGAATAATATCCCTTCCCACAATATAGGGAGGAAAATTAAAAAGAAAAAGCCAACCTTTCAACATGGAAGTAATACAATGACTCAAGTACATTATCGGATGCCATGTTTTTCTATAATTTATATTAGAACGTAGAAAGCTCATAGGGCACTGTGAAAGGTCGGATTAATAAGGAAAAGCCAACACAAAATTAAAAAAAAAAGAAGAAGAAGAAACAACCACATAATATGCCTTGGAGTAACTGAGAGCAGCCTGGGGTAGCTTAAAAACCACGCGTGAGCTCTCAAATCTCCCAGTTCAACTCACATCTTACTGCGGCTGCTTACCGCATAGGATCTTGAACAAGTTCTTTAATTGCTATACAAGTCCATTTCCTCATTGTGAAGTGAAGATAATTCTTACCTTGCACGGTTGTTGTTAAGTATTAGAGGCAAGGGACAAACTTCCTCATCATTGCATTCATTATCTGAAACTCTGCAGCTGTGAGGTCTGCGGGGACACAAACGTCCCCGTATCATGAAAATGTTCACTGAAGAACTAATCTGTTGTAAAATTAATATCCATTCAATTATTTCCCCCAATTTAATGCTAACATCTTTCTCAGCTTATGTTTCAAATTATTTGACAATCTTAAACTGATTACTTGAATTATGATATCTCATGCAATTACAGTGATCACTGATAACAGATTTATAATGCGTATCTGAGAAGGTGTAGGGTTTCACGAAGTCTATAGATACGATGATGATGAACAGGAGAGGTTGCACAGCATAGACTAGTGCCAGACAGCACAGACTCAGATGCTAGCTACACCGGTTACTAGATGTATAGGCTTCAGCAAACACCTTAACTTTTCTGTGCCTCAGTTTCCCCATCAATAAAATAGAAATGATCATACTATCTACTGAAAGTACATGTTATGAGGATAAAATGAAGTAAAGTGCTTAGTACATGCTTGGTAAATCATAACAAACACATGAGGGTTTATTAAGTGAGAATAAAAACAAACAAAATAACTCCATAACAAAGCTATTTTAAAATGAAGTAGAATGATTAAAAACTGGAGAAAACCCAGAACGTTCTTGACAGGTAGGAAACAATAAATAATGATTGGAATATCCTAGAAGTTGAGAAGCATTTGTGAAAATGGATGAGGTCCTGAATTGTTTTCATAAACAAACAAGCAAACAACAAATAAACAAAACCCCAAAGACCATGTTTTGTCACTGGACTGCTAAAATCAAAGAAAGATGAGGTTTGGGTAGGTGATCTTCAAGATAACACCAAGGAGGCCCACCTTCTAGTGTCCCCACTAGGGGCAATCCCCAGCTCCCACAATGCACCAGGCTTCACCTGTGAAAACAGGAACGGAAGGAACAGCATTCCACTCTCAAGGTTATGCCGCGGAAGATCTTGCTTCTTCCAACCGCATCACTCCCTGGCTCGTTCTCTCTCTCTCTAGTCACTCACTTGGAAGAAGACTGCTGTCATGCCACAAGCAGCCGTCTGAAGATCCCAGGAGGGAAGGATCTAAGGACTTTGTTCAAAAGCCAGAGAACTAAGCACTCCTGCCAAAAGCCATTTGAACTTGAAATTGTCTTCCTTCAGATGACTACAGCCCCTTGGACTGCTTGTTGGCAACCTGGGAGAGAGCCTGAACCAGAACACTTAGCTCAGCTGTTTCCAGATTCTGGCCCCATGGAAACCACGTGGAATTAAAAATATCAATGTTTTTGAGAAGCTAATTTTGGGGGTTACTATTATGCAGCAACAGATAACCACTATGCAGGTGAAGGAAGCCCTATGTGCTATTTTGCAAATTTAATAAAAGCGTTTACACCTCTCATATAGATGCCATTTATAATGTTTATTTTAAAATAGGCAAATACTTGTGACCTTCACTTTTCAAGATATAAGTCTTTCAAATTGCTCTTTTTTTTCCATTTTTAATAGGTCATTTTGATTTCCCTTCAACTAGCTGGCAAAGACCTATAGAGTCTATATGCTTCTCATTTCTTTCTACTTTTCCCCCTCTTTCTTTCCGCTCTATCCACACTCAGTTCTTATTTCTGTTTCTGGAATATGCTGGGCATACTTCCACTTTAAGGCCTTTGCATTGACTATCCCTTCTATCTTACCTTCTCTTCCCCCAAATACCTGAATACCTCACTTTACCTCCTGTCTTTAATCAATGTCTCCTCCACCCTGAGATCTATCCCAAGCGCCTTACTTAAAATTGCAACCCCTCTTCTTCTCATGCCTGACTTTCCTTATCCCAAGTTATTGCTCCATAACACTTTTATTAGTTTACTGTGTATCTCCCCTCACCGGGTGCCAGCTCTATGGGATAGGGATTTGTCTTTTTAGTCGAGTACTGTACTGACATATCGTCATTACCTACAAAAATGCCTGGCACTTAATAGGTGCTCAATAAATGTTGGTTGGCATGAGTAAATTTACTTCAAATAGCTTTTTTATAGTACCAACTACCCTGGGTTAAGAATTACTACTGTACTTAAATTTTATGACAGTAGGTTGTTCATAAACAGTAGCTATGATCTAAAAGCAAAGCTCCATTTAAAAATAAGAATTGTTAGCTTAAGTGACTCACAGAAAGGACCAGGTACAGAAGAACTAAAGAGACTGAGATGGGGATTAATCTGTGAACTTATTATCTAAATTAAATCTTTATCATGACACATTCTAAGGGCAATATATCTCATCATATGTGCATATAAAAAGACTTTCATATCTCTCAATACTCAAAACAGATGTATATTACTTTTATTACCAAGTTTGCATCAAAGAATAGTATTTGCTCCCTTTACCTAGAAAAACTAAAGACATAAATCAAATGGTGTTTCTAAAAAGTTTAAAAGGGCTATGACATCAATTTTGAAGTCTTCTGGAAGCCTTGCTTAGAAAAGATTCTCATATAAAGGCCCATTAACGCTGCCTTTATGGATGTGTGGCCTGTGCAGTCACACAGGACCTTGTACTTAGAAGGGCCCATTACTTGGTTTAATGCTCTGCTGTTGCTGTCTTGGAATTCTTAATAATTTATGAATAAGGACCCTTCATTTTCATTTTACACTGGGTGCTACAAATTACACAGCTGGTTCTGAGGCCCAAAGAAGACAATATTACTCAGTTACTACTCGTTGCCCAAGGACAGAAACAGAGGTGGAATGACAAGAAAAGCATACAGAAATTTCTGAGCTACATACCCCAGTCCTCTTCCCCTCCCCCACACCCCCCTTCCCTGGAGAACTGGGAAAAAAAGTAATTGTGGGATAAAGCTTGCTACTCAAATTGGGGCCTGTGCCAGCAGCAGCCTGGGGCTGGGGGTGGGCGGGAGAGGTGTTAGAATAGCAGAATTAGGACCCACTCCAGACCTACTGGGCTAGAATTTACAAGTTCTGTACACTCCAATTTTGAGAGACTGACCTGTACTGTTCCAAGAGTAATCCAGGACACCCACAATAATGGAAATTCTAAAGAGTTGGTTTTGGTTTTTGTTGTTGTTGTTGTTTGTTTGTTTGTTTGTTTGTTTTTTCCCTTCAAGGGGACTTTATTTTTTCCCCCTTCCACTGGAAGATCTCTAATCTGAGAAGTTGCCAGATTGAGATGCTAACTGATTTGAACATTACTTTTGTTCCCTCTGCGGTCCATTCTGTAGGATTATGTTAATATGAATTGATGTGGTCTGAAAAAAATAAAAAAAGAAAGTGTTATTACGTAATAACCCATGAAGAATGGGTTATTACGAGCTAAGCTGAGATGGTAGAAAGCAATTACAATAATAAAATGAAGGGGGGAGCTACCTTAAACAGGTAGTAGATAAAACTGAACACTTAAAATATGCCAGCCATCTTGCAAATTGTTTAAGATGGATTATTATATTTAAATTTCACCACAAACTTCAGAAGTACGTTCTACCCCTACCTTCCTTTGCAAATGGAAAAAAAAAAGGCTTGAGAGGTTTTGAAATGGCCATCATATAACAGATAAAGTGTGCCTTACTTTCATAACTGCAAATTCCTGTTACGTATTTATAAACATCTGCTGAACGAATGAATGACTTTGTGTCAATTCGCTAAAATTTTAGAATTAGGTCCTAAACGTTAGAGACCTCCGCTGTAGGAACAACAGAAACAAGGCCAAGAAAAATTCAAATACTGCCCGAATCTTTCAGTTTGAGATAAAAGGAAGAACAGAGGACTTCATTCTCGAAGTGCAGGTGACACACCAGTCTGCGTTCTCGCGCATCGCATGGAGAATGATTCTCAAGCTTTCCTCTAACAGCTGGGAGATGAAGATGCCACAAACATCAGAGAAACCGCCACAGTTTCCCGCTAATCGCATTCCCAGGTCCGGGGCCATGGGGACTCAGGGAGCGGCCGAGTGCCCAGAACCGTGCACCGGCTCCGCTGCTCCCGCCCGGAAAACCCAGGAGGGGGAGGAGCCGAGGAATCGAAAGAGAAACCCGGGGGAGGCTGGGGGGACTGGCGGCCGCCCGGCGCGGGGCGCGGGGATGGAGCTGCGGGCGCTGCGGCGGTTCTGGCTGCTTTGCTGCTGCTGCTGCTGCTGCGGCCGCGGCCTCCCCGCGGACCCCAGCGCCACCTTCACGGCGACGGAGCCGCGGAGCCGCGAGCGACAGGCAGCCGCCTTCCGGGTACCAACCGCGCGCCGCTCTCTGTTTCCTAGTCGCCCCTGCTGCCCGGTGTCTGGGCTGGGGCAGCGGGTTGGGGGGTGGCGGGGTGTCACTGAGAGCCGCCACTCCAGGTGGTCACCCTGCTCACACTTCGGTGACGGGTTTGGGCTTCCTGAGAAGTTCGCAGGCCAACTTCACCCTCCGTTCCGCACGTGCCAGCCCTCCCCCATCTGGGCTAACCGAAAGAGGGGATGTTGCAGGTTAGATTTGTCACCGTGGACCTATGGGATGAGCCCAGAGTAATCAATGGATATGTTCAACGTATTCTCGATTGGAAGAAGCACTCCTTTTGGCAGTGCCCTGGACCGTCCTCATGGCCTTCCAAAGCGGTTCCTTTTCAGAGTCTCGGGAACCTGATTAAAAGCGGAAGAAGCCTGATGGGTGTTTTTCTTCCGCTGGGGGGCGCTGGTGACCGCCTGTGATCAGCTTGTTCTAAACAAAGAGCCCGCGCTGGGAAAGCTCAGAGCCCTGCCTATGTGTGATTTTCCTGAGCTGGGGCTCCTTAAACTAGTGCAGCAACCTTAAAATTCTTCTCGACTTGCTTGAGACGGATTTGGAAAAAAGGGAAGCATTTCATTTCCTTTTCACATTATTTTCAAAAGTCCTCATAAAAATGCTTAGATTTTAGCCCAGTGTTAAACCTCTGGAATGGACTGAGTTAGTGGAGTATCAATAGGTTTTTCCTGTAACCTAGAGATACCGATTTAAAGCTTGCCTCACTGTGTTCTATATATCTGAGACCACTTAACAATTTTTTAAATCATGAAAGATGTCATCATTTTATTATAAAAGAAAATTGATTCATTCTGAATCAAAAGTAAGAATTTAGTAATATTGTTTGTTGGAATGATATTTAGTTTTTTGCTGGTATAGTCTTGGGATTTCTCCTGGAGTTCTGTAGCTGTACTCTTTTCTGCTCCTCCTGTCTCCCCTAGAATATTCCAGTGTTTAGGAAGTCGCAGCCTTGCCTGATTGTGCCCGCTCTTGTTTTTTGCCCAAACCAAGATGTGTACTCTTGTCTCTGCTTTATTGCTTTTGAGTTGCATTATAGCTTTTAAAACCAGAGGCACTGGCACAATTGCTGGAAAACAAACTTTGTGTCCCTGTATTCTGCCCCTGTCCTGGGCTTGGTTGCCTATGGTGGTGACCCAAACCCTTTAGGGGAAAAAAAGTCAATCTTATCTATACTGATAATTTATTCATTGGTTAAATAAAAAACACACTGCTGTCCTCCTCAAGAAAATCATGTTAGAGGATTGGAGGCACAAGGAGGCCAGAATAATAAATATATTTTTTAATATATGCATAAACAATGAATTTTGGAACAGTGAAAAAAAAATTAAATAAAATTTAAAAATATATATATAATATATATCTATTGACTTATATAGTTACTCATATTGGTCCTGTGAAGTGGCTGCACCCAGGAGACAAATGTCTGCAAATTCAACTCTTCTCAGGAAAAATACAAGGATCCGTAACAGGAAATGGAACATTTAAGTGGGGGAGGTCAGTTATGAAGACTTTTAGTACATTTAAAAATCTTGAGTTGAAAAAGCCTGGGAAAGTTTTCAAACCAATTGCTTCTAGTGGGAGTTTACTTCACAAAATGGATGCCCAGAAATGAAAGTATTTAGACTTCAAAACACATTACTGGAAAGTGGAGCATCTCATGGTGTTAGATTCTAGTTGTCTGGACCTGGAGTAGAGGGCTGGACACAGGCAAAGATAGAAAAGGCCTTGCTTCCATGGTACCCATGAGCATTTGGAAGAATTCTTCTGGCCAGGCAGGAGAGATTAAAGTATGTGATAACTAAAACTCATAACTACAACTCTACAACACTTTACTCCTATAAGATCATGTCAAGTTATGAATTGGCAGAGATTCCCCACTTCTTAACCATCTGGTAAATTATGTGCAGAATCTAGAAAATGTCCTTGTTTCACAGTGAAGTTAAAGTTTGGAGGAAAAAAAAAATAGGGGCATCCATGGGTGGCTCAGTTGGTTGAGCTTCTGACTCTTGGTTTCAGCTCAGATCCAGGGTCATGGGATCCAGCCCCTCGTGAGGAACTCTGTTCTCAGTGGGGAGTCTGCTGGAGATTGTCTCCCTCTCCCTCTACCCCTCCGCCTCTCTCTTTCATCCACGTGCTCTCATTCTCTCTCTCTCAAATGAATAAGTCTTTTAAAAAAGTTAAAAAAAAAAGTTTAAAAATTAAAATAGAATCGTAAAACACTCTGTGTTGGGCCAGAATCTATAGATGCTATAAAAAGTAGACAAATCCTAAGGACCAAGAGCTGTAGTCTCTGGCTCTTTGTTTCTTATTTAGGGATAGCAAATAGGTCTCATCATGTTTGCAAATGGATTGATTAATAGTGGCTGCCTGAAATATGGCATTGGAAAGTATTCAGAGACAGTTGGAGAAAATGTCTAATTGATTAGTAATGTCTTTCATGGTGTTGGGTTCAGAGAATTGTGAAATAGTCTTGTCATCCCTGCCTTATGTATTTTCATAAGTTCCTAGGACTATTTCTTAAATGGAAGTTAGATGGCATTTATGACACTTGTTCACAAACTATCACCACATTATTGTTGGGTGAAGACTGGGCCACTCCTTGGTTTGTTATGGTATGCTTCTCAGGATAATTGATGGAGGGAAAACAGATAGCAGCCCCAATCTGTGCTCTTCCACTGCTTTAGAAACTTCCAATGCTGAGGAAAATCAGAATGGAGGATTCAGCCTGCTCCTCTTTGTGCTGAAACCCAGGCGTGCACTGATAATTTACTGATGCTCATTATTTCACCACAGAAAAGTGCATATTCTTATGCCTTTGAGAAGTCACAGACCCATAAAAGTCATATGTACTCACTTCAGAATGATGTTTATGTGCCAATACAAATGTGATTTGTGCATAAAATTTCAGAATCTTCACTTTAAAATTACTGGCATAGAATGATATATGCTACATTGTTAAAATTATATATAACTGTTAGGCATGTTGTTTATGCATAAATAGAAAATAGTAGTTTATGTATAAACAGAAGATTTTGCAATAAATAATCCTAACTAATAAGTCACAGATACTTGCCATAATCAGCCTCTTGAAATCTGGATTGTCTTCTCCAAATGAACTCTGGGCAAGAATGCTTTAACGCACATTTTCTACCTAGCATAGACAGGTGAATTTGATGTAAGGTACTGTTGTTCAAGTGACCTTTTTCAATGATTCAAACTTTAATGCCTGCATTGCCAAAATGAAAATATATCAGGAACTTAAAATCTTGGATCAGAGTTTGTTCATTCATTTGTCCATCTGTCCATCCATCTATCCAATATTTTGATATTCACTATGTGAAAGGAGCTGATCTGGGTCTTCTGATTCCGTGGGGGAATAAGACATGTGCCAACTTCAAAGAATTATAGCCTAACAAATGAATATTGTATATTTGAACATTGTACTAGAATCCATTTTTCAGTGAACAAACAGAAAAATGTAAAGAGTAATACACTAGAAAAATTATTCCTTCAACCAATTCTCAAAGGAGTATCACTTTAATTCAGTCTTTATTTGCATGTACAAGTAAATACTAAATGACTACATATTTCTTTTTATTTTACTCTGCATGATAAACATACATGCATATTATTTTTACACAGATGTCAGCACAACATATACAAAATCCTTTGTGCAGGTGACTTTTGTAAAGTAGGAATTTATGAAAGTATATATTTTTATTGTTCTAGTAGAGGCCTTCCCAACAGCTGCACTGTCGACATTGTGGAACTGATAATTATTGGTTGTGGGGAGCTGTCCTGTGCCTTGCAGTGCGATTAGCAGTGTTCTTGGCTTTTACCCACCAGGTGCCAGTAGTGTCTATCAAAATTGTCTGCACACAGCGCCAAAAATCCTTGGGAGGGAAGAGGAGGAAGGAGGGAGTTTCCCTCAGCTGAGATTCACTGATCAAAGATTTACAACTCTCAAGTCTTAAGAGAAATTCTCAGCGATGCTCCCACACCGCATATAAACATTTTGCCTCTTGGACCATCCCCAGACTAACTGCAACTTCCAGAAACGGAAGCACCAGCAAGCGGAACGTTTTAAATCCATCTGTGAAATGTATGATTTGTCCTACACCAAACCTCAGAATCTCCAAGTGAGAGCTGTTGAGGGAAGAGCTAAAGAACAGAAGTGGGATTGAGTTTAGAGCCTTAAACGAAAGGTCGCCTTACAGAGCATCTGTGGCTTCTGCAGTAATTTCAGTGTACAGCTTATCCCAGCAAAGCATGAACTCATTAAGGGAGCACACACCACGGAGAAAGTACAAAATAGATCACCATCCTATGACCCGTCTGTTTTTCACGCATCTGCATGTTTCAAAACTACTAATGCTGTGTGCTGTATCCTCCTCAGAACTTGACTGTCTTCTTTCATAAGTGACCTTAAGGCTCAGGTCTTTCATTTCAATATTTTATATGGTTTTAGGCACATTGACTCGACTGTAGATATAGTCTACCATACTATAATACCATTATGGTCTCTTCCATTGTCTTAAGAGCATGAAGTAATTGGTCCTTTACTTAGGACTGATTCTGTGACAGAGCCTGTTAACATGAGGATCTCCACAGACTCACAGTTTGTGATGCTTCTGTGAAATCTGCTCTCACAGAAGGAATCGAAGTAGACCAGAAAAGTCACTTGGAAGAGTCGTCAATTCCGGAAATGAAATACAGAGCTTTTTTAAAATTTAAATGATTTGAAACTCTGTTAGGGGGACTTAATTTGTGTCCTACTGTTCTAGCAAATAGGAGAATAAATGTTCTTGGATATACTGATAATATCATTTTACTATGAAAGCTGTTTCTTCGGATCGGTAACTGGTCATTTCTAATTGCATGACAAAGATTAGCTCCATATTAATCTAAGAAAACCTGAAAACATGATCTTTGAAGGACATTTTCTATGTCCAAATGTTCTGTGGTTAAAGGGGGAAAAATATTCTGTGTTTAAGGGGGGAAAGAAGATACAGCATGAGAGTATTAAATTTAACATTTTTTCTGTAATTTGCGTTTTCCAAACATTATCTTATTTAATTCTCACATTTTGTCAAGTCGGAATTACCCCATTTGTCAATGAAAAAAATAATGACCCAAGAGGTTAAGTAGATACCCAAATATTGCATGACAATGTGGTTAAGATATTTGTTGCAAAACTGAGAAGAAATTGGAGAAATTTACTGTGTGTGTATATAAATATAGAGAATTACGTTTTGTTCAGAATTCTCATGGGAAGTACTTTTAATATTATTAGTGGTCTTGCAAAATCAGAAAAGGGAGGATGAGGATTAGTGGTGGGGAGAAGGCAAAACGGAGCACTTTGGGGTTTAGAGGTCTTTGGTTTTTGCAAGAAGTCACGTTGTAAATATCAGATATCCTTAGCGTGGGCTGTGGACAGCCATGAAATGACAGGAATCAGTGCACTGGAATGACATACAAAATCCACAAATGGGATTCTTTTAGAAGTTGGCCTCTGGTTGATACAGGGGTTTCGTAGATTCCCTCAATCACGACCAAGAAATTTGCTCTCAAGCACTATTTGCTGAGGATTTTTGTCATGAAAAGATTTTGAATTATGTCAAGGGCATTTTCTGCATCAACTTAAAATATGATTTTCCTTGCTTTTTTAAAAATGCCATTAATATGGTATATTATGCTGATTGCTTTTTAAAAGTTAAACCAATGTAGCATTTTTCTAATGAATCTCACTTGGTCATAAAGCGTTGTCCTTTTTATATATTGTTGGATTTGATTTGCTAATACTTTCTTAAGGATTCCACATCTATAGCCGTGAGGGCTATTGGTGCGTTGGTCTATTTTCTTGAGATGTCTTCGCCTGGTTTTGTAATCAGTGTAATACCTTATAAAATAAGTTTCAGGGACGCCTGGGTGTCTTAGTCGTTTAAGTGTCTGCCTCTGCTCGGGTCATGATCCCAGAGTCCTGTGATGGAGCCCTACATGGGGCTCCCTGCTCAGCAGGGAGTCTGCTTCTCCCTCTCTCCCTGTCTCCCCACTTGTGCTCTCTTTCTCACTCACTCTCTCTAACTCAAATACTCAAATAAGTAAGTTAATTAATTAATTAAAATAAATAAAATAAGTTGCAAAGCATTCCCTTCTCTTTTATTTTCTCAAAGAATGTGTATAAGATTGATATTATTTCTTTTTTAATTGTGTAGAGTTCACCAAACAAGACATCTGGGCTTAGAGTTTTCTATTTCTCATACATTCAGCTTTTGCAATTGGTGATGTGTGAGGAGTGTGTCCGTTTCATACACACATTCATAAAACTTCCTGGTTTACCGTTTTCAAAATACTGTTATTCTAATGACTAAAGCATCCATAGTGATGGCCCTTTCCTCGTTCTTGATGTTGATCATTTGTGTTTTATCCTTTCTTTTTTCATTTCCTTATCACAAGACCAATAGCTGAGAGAAATGGGGACAGGTTGGGAGAGCTACCTGATGGCAATGCAACTCTGATCTAGAGTGAAGGAGGGAGGGAAGATAGATTGGGGGAAGTGCTTTAGACGGCTGTGCAGCCAAAGGAAGGGTCAGAGAGACCCTCAGGGCTCAGTCTTTGGCTACAGGCAGCTTGTGGGAACCGTGGCCTCTCTTGTGGTAATTCAGCACGCAGCACATAACCCCCCCCCCATAGATGGAAGTCTGTGAGGCTCAGTCTCATGGCTACCACTTGCTTTCCTATGCATTTTTAGTGTCCTACATTCTCAATGCCCTGGCTAGTCTAGCCCACAAAAATGTTCAACCAATACTTAGAAAATGAATGAATTTTAAATTCCTTAGCAGCTAGCAGTCTCTGGCTCATGTTTGTCACATGGAATATAGATACGTGCTTTGTTATTTCTGCTCTATTTTTGTATTCATCCATCTGCTTTCTAAATTATATTCAGAACTCTGCTTTATCAAGATTATTCTTAAGTACGTAAAATTCATTTAGTAACTCTTTATTATTTCATTAACAGTCCTTCCAGGCACGATCAATAAGGATGTAGTAAGAAGAAGATAAGTTCCAGTAATAACTTGCTTCAAAGTAAATAGCTTAAAGCTCTTACAGGCATGATGTATATAAAATGTCATTGGTGTACTTATTCCACAAAAAATGTTAATTAAGCATCCATTGTGTGCCAGGCATGTGCTCAGGGTGGGGAGTGCACTGATGAACAAGACAGACAGGTCTCGCCCTCATTTTACTTAGAGGTTTGTGACACAGACACACAATAAACACGTAGATCCATAAACAAATACATATGAGCTAGAGTTGGAAACTTACCTAATGGTAGTCTCCTGAAATTGCATTTATCCTACACAGTTGGTTAGCATCAGGAAATTGAGGCATGTTCTCACAAAAGACAAGCTTAAGATAAATTATTACAAAATTCAGAGCTGAGGAATCTGTAAATAATGGTCATGTTTTCCCTCTAGATACACAAGTTAATCTATCTTCCCGGAACATCTGCAGCTGCATCGCTATCACAAAGCCTTTTTACCCATAATGAGCTGGAGAGAGCTATAAAGCTGGAATAGAATCATATTTATTTATTATTTACTGATTTATTTTTTTCATGCTTTGTTACATAGTGCTGGGAAATTCAAAGATACATGCATTCCAAATTCATAATTTTTTAATCTAATGAGTATCTCTTTGTGACAGTTTCTACTAGGATCTAGTGTTTATTTGCAATTCACTTTGTTTTTTTCCACTGTGTTCAACAAACACGTATTTAGTGCTTTCAACATGCCGGTAAAGAGGAATTATAAATGGATAAGACATACCTTTCCAGCCTCAAAAATATACCTGAAACCAGATGATAGTTTTCACACAAATGTTTGTAAATCTGATCTAGAGGTCCTATGCAATCTTTCACTGTGATCAGTAGGAAATAAATCAAGCTTTGCTTCTAACACCTGAAAAATATGTCCAAGTTAGTTACACATACATTGCTCTGATAAGTGAACATAGGTGATGTGAATTAATTTTTTTCTTCTTTTAGGAAAGCCTTAATAGACATCAATACTTGAATTCTGTATTCCCTCATGACAACTCTAGTGCCATCTATGGAATAAATCAATTTTCTTATTTGTTTCCGGAAGAGTTTAAAGGTACTGTGATATTGTGCTATTAGTTGTTTGGTTTCCTGATTTTGATTTGTTTCCTTAATTTTTGAGGAATTGTTTAATTGTGAATCTAGTAAATTGAGTCATAATTAACATTTATTAAATACTAAATGTCAAGCATGTAAATACCTGGCTACTATCTTCTGATTATCTTCTAATTAAGATCTAAATGTTATAGATTTTTCCATGTAGCTGTAAGGGCCAATGTTTCACCCCTTCTGCATTTTTTTTTTAAATTTTACTTATTTATTTGACAGAGAAAGAGAAACAGTGAGAGAGGGAACACAAGAGAGGAAAACCCCACAGAACAGGGAGCCCAACACGGGGCTCGATCCCAGGACCCTGGGATCCTGACCTGAGCTGAAGGCAGATGCTTAACGACTGAGCCACCCAGGAGCCCCCATTCTGCATTTTTTTAAAAGATTTTTATTTATTTATTTGATAGACGGAGATCACAAGTTGGCAGAGAAGCAGGCAGAGAAAGAGGAGGAAGCAGGCTCCCTGCTGAGCAGAGAGCCCAGTTTGGGGCTCGATCCCAGGACCCTGGGATCATGACCTGAGCTGAGGGCAGACGCTTAATGACTGAGCCACCCAGGAGCCCCCTTCTGCATTTTTTAGTGCTATTTCTATCCTAGACATCCACAGTTCCATGGGTTACGATAAAGCTAGTGATATCAATTATACTCATTTTTATTATTGACCGAGTTCTATCAGACAAGTAATTTTATGTGACAGCTCCAGTCCTGTTGTAGGAATTCCTTAGTTTTCAGTGAGTACATTTTGAGTTATGAAAAAGTATAAAGGAAAACCACAAATGGCAGGCTCTACTATAAAACTTCTGTTTGTGTTTGAAAAATTCCTCCAAAAAGAACCCCAGGAAGCCCTCCTTATAACGTTATGTTGGCTGTCTTTTCATTTCCTGTTTCTCTTCAGCTATTTATTTAAGAAGCAAGTCTTCCAGACTACCCAGATACCGAACAGAGGTGCAAACATCCATACCCAATGTATCTTTACCATCAAGATTTGACTGGCGGGACAAACATGTTGTAACCCAAGTGAGGAACCAGCAAACTGTGAGTTTAGAGGTTTTCTTTTTCTTTCTTTCTTTTTTTTTTTTTTCTTTTTTAAATCATCTTAGCATGCATGGGAAGTCATCTTTGAAGTCCAGTTCAATCAAACTTGTAACAGAAGCCATATCTCTGGGTAAAACCACACTCCAAATACCCAGAAATGACAATGAAGGGAGAATCTCTGATGAAATGAGAGGCAGATGTCAAGGCCGATTTTTTTTTTTTTTTTTAAGATTTTATTTATTTGAGAGGGAGAGAGAGAGAGAGAGCATGCAAGCGAGAGCACAGGAGCAGGGGGAGGAAGAACCAGTCTCCCTGCTGAGCAGGGAGCCCGATGCGGGGCTTGATCCCAGGACCCTGAGATCATGACGTGAGCAGAAGGCAGATGCTTAACCCACTGAGCCACCCAGGCGCCCCAAAGCCGATTTTTATTTTAAAGATAAACCTACTCCTCTACACCCCATTGGCATAGGGAATGACACCTGACCAGGGAAAATCGACCCCATAACTGCAGAGATAGAGTCTCAATTTATCTGAGTGGAAACCTTACCATGTCATTCAGCCTTCCCATTTAAGGTGTTTTAGACCAAGCAGTTTCTCAGTCACCGTCTAGTTAGGATGACTCTTTTCTCCTCAGAATATAAATCTATCGCTTTTTTAAAAATATATGTATTATTATGATTTAAGTTTTACCACCGAATCATTTGCTTTATTATTGAATTCATAAAGAAGAGTGAATTAGTCAGAAACAGAATCCTTCCAGGAAGTGTCTACTTTGTATTAAAGGAATACAATTTCATTAGTAATCTTGAGTTAAAGAAATATACTGTAGAGATATTTTTTGAGCAGAAACTGCCCTCCTGGGGCAGCTATTGGGAGATAAACTAAATCTAGCTCTAGGTATGGTGTCAGCAACCTGTACTCACTTTTCTCAAAGGGTGGAGACCCGGACATAGAGTTCCTTAGTGCCTATTTTCCTATGCCAAAGGCACTGGGCATAAAGACATAATAAGACCCTTAAAGCCATAAAGTCACTCAACACAACTCCACAAAGATAACCAACTGTTCTTCCTTTCTTTGCCTCACTGTGTAGCACATGTCCTGGGATGAAGTCAGTTCTGCCCAACTTCAAATCTTACTCTTACCTCTGCCTTTTCTATGGATCCTTCTTCCTTGTTCATGAAACTTGATTTCATTTCCTCCATTTTCTCCCTATTCTTTCAGGACGAACCCTTTCATTCTTTCATTCCAGTTAGTCCAATAAAATCAAGTTAATAGATCCAGAATGAGGAAGATTGTCAGCTGACATTTCAATGAGGAATGGCCAGTATGGGTTTTGATCGTTATGACATTTTATGCGTATCTGTGATATGCCCATGCTGGCACTGTGGCAGCCTAGAAAGTAATTCATTCAGCTCCTGAGTTAATCAAATAATGAGCACAGCTTGGATGATGTATATATCCTCAACCCATGTCACCTCATCACTGCCTCTGCCCTTTAGGGTGGAGATGGTGGATGCCATAGAGGCAGAGGGTCAGGGGAGAAACAAGAGGGATTGAAGAGTGGGTGGGAGTTGGCATACTTCCTAGAAACAGAAGTCATGTCCAGTGAACTGATGAGTCTTTAAAAGACCATCCAGGTGTTCTCTCAATCTCTGAATCTCGCTTTCATCTTGCATTGTCTCGTTGACCAGGGTGATTGCCCGTTTATCTTTAATAGTTACATTTTGGGGCTGAAGTGAGAATTTTGGTTTTTCTTTTCTTTCGTCTATTTGAAAATCTATAGGCTGGGCATTAATATTTTGTAGGCCTCCAGATTCTGCCCACTTTACTTGACTTGTTAACTCGTGATAATTAGCAATGTGGACGAACTTGGTTTGAACATTATTTGATAATAAATACAATGCTGTTTCTCTTTTTCAACAGTGTGGAGGATGCTGGGCCTTCAGCGTGGTGGGTGCCGTGGAATCAGCATATGCAATAAAAGGGAAGCCTTTGGAGGACCTGAGTGTACAGCAGGTCATCGACTGTTCCTATAATAACTACGGCTGCCAGGGAGGCTCCACTCTCAGTGCTTTGAACTGGCTGAATAAGGTGACTAGTTTCTCAGCCTTCTAAACTCTTCATTTCCTCTTTGGTTTAGTTAACATGCCTTCAGAATTAAGTCAGTTTACTCTCAGATATACCAAAGAATGTTTTTATTTTTTATTTTTTTGAAGATTTAATGTATTTATTTGAGAGAGAGACAGAGATAGAGACAGAGAGCATGAGCTGAGTGGAAGAGGGAGAAGCAGGCTCCCAGATGAGCAGGAAGCCCGATGGAGGGGCTCCATCCCAGGACCCCAAGATCATAATCCAAGTCAAAGGCAGATGCTTAAATGACTGAACCACCCAGGCACCCCCAAAGAATGTTTTTAAATTCAGAAATTTTGATGGCCAAAGTCTGAATCCCTCAGAAGATTTGAAAATGAATTGCTTTCAGGCAAGTCAGCTACTAAGCGATCAAAGTGTGGAAAATCTTGCCTGCATTTGTTTTCAGAAAAATACGTGTGTTTCTTTCTTAGCATTTCTCAGTAGGTAAATACTTTCTTTCATAGTTATAGATCACCTAATGTCCCAAAGATGAGAACCTATGATTACTTATTTCTATAGAATCTTTGAATATTGCAATTATAAGAGACAATAGAAATCAGCAAATTTAATAACTCTTTATGTAGGTGAAGAAATGAGACCTGAGAGGTGAGATCGTGTTGCCAAATCAGTAGCTGTGCCAGAACTGTGTCTTAAGTCTTCTGTCTCAATGGAGGGCTTTATCCAATACTCCAGAGTGTCCTCCGTTTCTTAGGAGACTCTCTGACATTGTCCTGTATCCAGGGCCAACTGCATGAAGCCAAACCATGAGGATGTTGTTATAGTTTGTAAAAGTCGTCAAGCTGGAATTTCCCAAATTGGAATATTCTTTCCTTGTTCGCTTGCTGTATTTTGAGTTACTACATGCCGGAAGCTTCTCTGCACACATCAGGGACAACAAGGAATTGTGTGTCCCCTGGCTTCTATAAGCCCAGAATCAGAAAAGGAGGATTGTCTACCAACAGCTAAAAAATATGTGACATATGCTAGATGTATGGCATAGAGAGATGTAGGTGGAAAGAATGCTTCATCTGGCCATTGCCTGAGCTGAGTGAGTCTCAGAGACTTGCTGATGGAACCAGAAGCTCTGGAAGGAAAATGAGTTGCCCTGTTGCAACCTCAGGAGAAAAAAAAAAAAAAAATGGTAAGACTATTATCAAATGTAAGGAGGCTCTAAGGAAGGAAGTTAGAGGAAAAACAAGAGTAGAAGAGAAAGATACTGAGTTAACTTAGTATGTCCATAACAAACACCTAAAGGTTGAATTTAAGAATTTAGGTTATTTATGAATTTAGGTTATTAAGATAACCTAAAAAATAGCCACATGACGAGGATGTGGCCAACTTGAATCTTATTTGGACACATCGTAGAAATTGCTGTTTGATTTCCAAAACAACTGTGTTTTAAATAGAGAACCCTTTGGATGATTATTTTCTTTTAGACACAAGTAAGACTGGTGAGAGATTCAGAGTACCCATTTAAAGCACAGAATGGCCTGTGCCATTACTTTTCTGATTCACAGTCTGGATTTTCGATCAAAGGTTATTCTGCATATGACTTCAGGTAATTGTCTTATTCTGTTGTGTCTCTGTCTGCATTTCATAGTCTCTGATCTATTGACCATTTGGAATCAATAACTGGATTGAAGGCATTTTTGAATACGAGTCATTGTTTTAAGACCTACCTTTTTGCTAGAGAGACTAATGGAGGGCTGTCTAAGAGATGTTGTTTCTTAAATGTGATCTTATTTTTCCATTTGTGTTTATAATAGAATTAACACATTTAAATCTGTGCAAGGTAAAAGTTATCCTTACCACCTTCCTTCTAACAAATGGAGTTGCCGTGATTATCATTTGTATATTTCAGTCTCACTGTTGAAGTGATCCAAAATTGCTTTGTATAGACTCTCCAGTGAGTATCAAGCAGTCGCCTTACCAAGAAGTATCATTTTTGAACATGCTTGCATTTTTTTAAGGCATCAACTATAAGAAAAGCATGAACTGAAACTTTCTTATTAGAAGCAAGTAAGACTATATTACTGGAGGTGGATTATGGGGCACACACTACGGGCATGATGGGCGTGCAGGGTAGATAAGGACAGGCAGAGGAAAGGGACTGGTGTTGAAAGTTGAATGGCGTGATGACTTTGAATAGGTTCAGGGACAAAGAGTCATTACAAAATGCTTTAAAAATGCATGAAGTACTGAAAGCCAGCTAGAAAACCATTGTGACCATTTGATATAGTACAAAACAGGGATTCAGGGATAATAGGACAAAGGAAGATTCAAATAGCTTCTTTTTTCATTTAAAAAATATATATAAAGGAATCTTAGCACAGTCTTTTGAAACAGAGAAAGCAGAAAGTCAATTATATTCAGCTGAGGTGACAGACTACCCCAAAACATACCAATACAGAATATAAAAGAATCTCTTGGTCCAGATGGTGCCAACCCATGAGATCTGAAGGAAATCAAGGGTGAAATTGGATCATTGAACAAAATGGAACCCGTCTAAGAAAGCATACGTGTACCAGAGGCCTGACAGATTGTCAGCACAGCTCCCATCTACAACAAGGGCTCTCGGGGTGACCTTAGGAACCACACACCAGAGAGTCCCAATTCCATAGATGGCAGGTTACACAGAGTCTGTAATAAAATGTGCAGAGTCACAGAATACATTGTCCTACATCTTTTTTGAGGGAAACACACTCTCAAAAATGAGGAAGTGTGTCTCTATAAGCTGTCCATTCCTTAAGAGTGTAAGTGAAGCATGCACACAAGAAGTAAATAGATTTTCAAAATATCACTCAAAAGGTTAAAAAAAAATGTCACTTAAAAACTTCAGGGAATCCCTCATCATGAGTAGCAAAATAACAAAAAAAATAGGGAGACATGTAGAAGAATAGGCATGAATCTGAATTAGAAAGATTTGGAGAGAGAGAATGTAAAAGTCACTGGCACTGGACCTGAAGCATGATCTGTCTAACCCTTTGGTTAAGAAGAAAGAGGTCCCGATTAAAAAAAAAAAAAAAAATACCAACTCTGTTTACACTGGACATAAACATTCTGGTAATAGAGTGCTAATGGTATTAGACTCTGCACGAAGATCTTTCATTGATTTATTCATTCATTTGAATATGTATTGAACATTGTTTCAGGTTCTGGGGATTCAGCCGTGAACAAAACAGACAAAAAACCCTGACTGCATTTTAGTGATAGAGACAGACAATAAAGAAAACAAACAAAAATATGTACCGAGTGTTAGATGTAATCATTTCTACAGAGAACTAAGTAAAACAGTAGGAGGAAGAGGAAACATCCGGGGGTTATACAGTCTTAAAAAGAATGGCCAATGAGAAGATGACTTTTGAGCAAAGACCTGGAGAAGTGAGGGAACGTAACCATCTAGACATCTGAGGAACAACTGTTCCAAGCATAAGGATCCATAAATGCAAAGGGACAGAAACATGTGTGGCATATTTACAGAAAAATGAGGAAGCCAATGGGACTTTGGATGGACAAGACTAGTCAGAGATGAGGCAATAAAGGTTATCGGGTAATACCCTTGGAGCAGTGTTAGAAAAATGGTCTTAGACCTGAGACATCATAGGTTATTATCCCTCATAGAATATGAAGCCCCACAGAATATTTTGACAGATTTTATGGAGGGGATGAGAGAAAAGATAGTCAAGGATGATGAATCTAGGCTTTTTGGCCTGAACAACTGAAAGAATGGAATAAACTCTTACTTGAGACATGAAAGTCTGAGACAGGAACAAATTCAGGAAGGAATATCGAGGAGTATATTTTAACTTGCTAACAGCCAACATCTTTCTGAAACACAAGAGATAACAATGCTAGTCATTTCTGGGACTAAATGGAACATTTCTGGACTATGTCATATCCTCCTGTTTCATATTTTTGATATCTTTTTTTAGTTCTGCCTCAAAGCAGAGACTATTACTCAGTTGTTTCTTTGATCTTACCATGTTAATTACCCTCTACATTCTAAAAAAATATTTTTCCTTCTTGATCTTTCTCTTTCCATCGTGCTCTCCCTGTCCCTGGAGCTTTGATGTCATGTATTTACAGTTTATCTTTTGTCATCTTACAAAGGTAGAGACGCCTGTATACTCTTTAATGTAGATAATCCTATTTGTCATATTTGGATAACAAAATGTTCAAAAATTTGAATATAATAAAATATACATTTTACATTAAAACATATGCTGAACAAAACTGGTTTACCAGGTAATTAGAAATGAGGAAAGGGAGCTATTTCTTTCAAATTCAGAGTGTAATTTATGTTAGGCATGCTATAAGTTTATACCTGCAATTTTCTCCTTAGATTGATTTTGTGACAGAGGTGACTTCAGTCACCTGCTAGAGTCACTGACTCCAGTGTGACTAGAATGACTCCAGTCTATAGCTGTAATTTGAACACAGCTATGCAGAACTTCAATGCCTATACCCTACCATGATGCCTTATAGGAATTTTGTAATTTTGCCTGCCTTGGGATAATCTTAATGAATGCAGGTTATTATTACAGCAGTGAAAATTAGAATTGACTGCTTATAGATCTCCAGAAAAAGATCTTCACATCAACAGGTCATATGAATAAACGTTTAGAATGAATATGCATGCAGTTTCTATCTCAATAAATTCTCTTATGCACTCAATTTTTTCCCCATCTGTGGGCAAAATGTCCCCTTGGTAGAAACTGATCCCCAGCAGGTTATAATAATAGGTTATTTACTCTTTGGAGCTACTAATTTACTCATGGCTTGCTGCAGCAGTAAAATACCAAATGCTATCTTAATGGCTTGAAATATCAGTAATTTGGTTTCAGTGTCCTTCACTCATCAGGCTGACCTTTAAAAGGGTAAATAATGGTTTAATCACATACTTCCAAGATCGATGATGACCAAATGTTATGTAACAGACATTATCAGTAGATGTCCACGTGTGAGAGCAATAACTGGGTCTTTCAACAGACTTCACAATCTAGTCTTGGTTCTCCTGGCATCTTTTTTTTTTTTTTTAAATCTGTATTTATAGCTTTATTTTAAAATAATAGCAAAAAACCCATTACATGGCAACCTGTAACACACTTTTATGCTTTTATGAAAAAGATATTATTTTCCCCAAACTGAGACATGTAAATAAGTTGACTGGTATCGCTTCAGATTTTTCTAGATCTTTTTCCTTTTTTTTCTTTTAATTATTTTCTGTTAGCCACTTTATAGTACATCCTTGCTTCTGTTGTATAATGACATTTGCCACTTTTGTGTAATGCTCCCCTCTGATTTCTGCGTTTGGCGTTCATTCACAGAAGTTGGTCAGTCTCTTGATTCTCACAGGGTATGGCACAGTTATCTCATGCATTTAGTCTTTTCACTTCCCTTATTAACAGAATCCCCCTATTATAACTTGATACTTCGCCAGCTAGCTACAAAACTCCATTTCCGATCTTCCTTGAAGCTAAACTTAGCCTCTTAACTGAGTACTAGCCAATGAGATCTATATAGACCTATGCAGAGCATGTGTGTTATCTATATAGACATACGCAGAGCATGTGTTTTACTTTGGGGACGTCTTCTCAACAGGAATATTGTACTTCTTTCTTCTTTGTGCTGTCTGGAATATATGTTAAATGGCAAGAGCTCCAGCAGCAATCTTGGGCCATTAATTGACCCCTGGTAGAGCAGAATACAGAAAGATTCTGGCTTCCTGATACCTTGGAGCCCCATAGAAGTCCTAGACTACCCAGTCTCTCAGACCTCTAGTTCCCATTTTTAGGTCTTCTGTAATTGCAATCAAACCTACTCCTAACCATACATAGATTAAATAGATTTTTTTTTTTTTTTTTTTTTTTTTTTTATAAAATAGCTCTACCTTAAAAACAACTCCTTAACCATGGATTTCCTCTTCCGGTAGTGACCAAGAAGATGAAATGGCAAAAGCACTTCTTACCTTTGGCCCCTTGGTAGTGGTAGTAGATGCAGTAAGCTGGCAAGATTATTTGGGAGGAATAATACAGCACCATTGCTCTAGTGGAGAAGCAAATCATGCCGTTCTCATAACTGGATTTGATAAAATAGGTAAGTGCTGATAAGACTTGATTGGTTGCTTTGCAGCTTGAACTCTGACTTACAAATGATCACCATCCTTTAAAATGCTGAAATTTGGTCCTTCCATGTCTAAGTCCTCCTAAGACCTTTACAACTTTTCAGTAGAATTCCAGGCATAAATACCCTGTCATGGTCCCCCCTATCAATTTTGAGGACAACCTTGTTAAAATAACAATAATTCTTGATTTAAATAATGTGCATTCTCCACCTGGAATGTTTAGAATAATTGTTGGGGGAAAAGAAGTCTTTGTTATTTTAATCATATTTTTCTAAAGATTATTTTTTTTCCTTTTCCTAATTCCCTGGAATTGTGTGTATGTTTTCATTTCATGCTATCTGATTCAAATATATATTTTTCTATTACCTGGAGTGTGACACTAAGTGCAGCTCAAGTTTACTTAGCCAGAATCACATTACATTTTTAATCTTTTGCTCAGAGCTGCTATAGCTATCAAGAACTAACTCTTTAAATGAATATGCTTCACAACAAAATTTTAACTTTTCACGGTTTGTCACCATCTTATGTTTTGTAGGAAGTACTCCATATTGGATTGTGCGGAACTCATGGGGAAGTTCATGGGGAGTAGATGGCTACGCCCATGTTAAAATGGGAGGCAATATTTGTGGTGAGTCGTGAATTCATGTTTAAAACTTCAGGCTAAATGTCCAGGCAGACACTTGGAAAATATTAAAATTATAAACCTGTATGCTCGTAATTTAAGTCCATAGTCAGCTTCCAATGGACTCAGACCATTTTTACAGTAATAATTTTCCTTCTCTAGCCAACTGATAAAAATAAAATAGTGTACCTTGAAGAGACACATTGCACATGTTCACATTTTGAAAAGGAAGAGAGCTTGTAGTGATACAAGTATAACATGCAAAATACAATAAGATACAGTACTAATAAGATAGAGTACTAATTTACCAAGAGGCTGAGATGCTCTGAAAACATCTCCAAAATTTATTTATTTCCTTCATTTTTTCTGAGCCTGAGACCTGAACTAACATTGCCAAGATCAAGAGTTTCACACTCCACTGACTGAGCCAGCCAGGCACCTCCCTTATTTATTTTTTATAACTGAATCAATTTTCCTAATTTGTGCATCACAATACCTGCTCAAGGGTATCAAGAATTGCTTTTTCTTTGTATCAAAATATATGAAAATCTGAGCATTAGGCTTGTTTCTGGTTTAATATGCCCCTTGTTACCTACAGACTCAAGCAAAACACACACCAGAATTGAGGGGCTGAAGCAAATACCAAATATGCTTTTTTGCTGAATAACAATTTTGTTTCTGGATAACCACAAACCAAATTAAAATAGCTAGTCAAGTATTTTTAACTGTATTCTAAAACTTATATGTAAACATATGTTCTAAAATTTTTAATCTAGGAAATCAGCACAGTTTATGAATCAAGTTTGACCTAAACTATATTGCATATGAAAGCAATCATTTAATTTCTTATTACAATGATTCCTAACATACATACAACTTTTTTAAAAGTTGTAGAACCCTCCAGAGAGTGAGACTGAGAATAGAGAGTTATAGAAAAGTTCGAGAGTTGGGATGCCTGGGTGGCTCAGTCGGTTAAGTGTCTGCCTTCAGCTCAGGTCATGATCTCAGGGTCCTGGGATTGAGTCCTGCATTGGGCTCCCTGTGCAGCAGGGAGCCTGCTTCTCCCTCTCCTTCCACCCCTCCCCCTGCTTGTGCTCACTCTCTGACAAATAAATAAATAAAACCTTTAAGAAAGAAAGAAAGAAAGAAAGAACGAACGAATGAAAGATTTAAGAGTTTAAATTTAGATTCAATCTAGTGAACACTGGCTAAAGGTATCATAAAGTAGAATCCATGAGAGTTAATCAGTGGTCTGGCCTATCACCCCAATAAAATATTTTTCTGAAATTACTTATGAAGGAGAGTCAACATTAAAGAAGTCTTCTAGCCAGAGCACTAGCAAACTAGTTAGGCCTCTACTTTTTAGCATCATGGGGGCTTTTCTGTTGTTGGAACTTGCAGATATATTACCGCTGCCATTCATTGAGCCTCTGCTGCTAAACCCAAATTATCTCTAACTGTCAAAGTGGTGATACTTGGATCTGGACGAAGGTTGGCTTTTTCAAGGCTCTGGCAAGAGTGTTGCAAGAACATAATTCAGATGCTCGTTCATACTTGCCTCCATTATGACACCGTATCCTCCCCCACCACCTCTTCTTCAGCCCCCAGCTACTAGGGTGAGTTGGAATAATTTCTCCTCTCTACTCGTGTTCCAGTGGGATCCTCCACATGCCTGCCTGATTAGTAATTAAGCAGGGATCCAAATCATTCCAGAAAATGAATATTTCCTGAAAGTTAATACCTGATGATGATCACATTTCTCTTATGAAATAGCATTCCATGGCTCCAAGAGATTTTAAAGACATAGCTAATTACAATGAAATCCAGTCTTCAAATGGACTATTTATTGCTTTTACCATGATATTGAGATATATGGTCTTAGGTGCTAAGAAAGCCTAGCATATTTGTGACTTATTTAAATTTTGCTAAAGTTCAAATCTTAAGAGTTTGAAGTTTCAAATTTTATTTAAAACAATCCTATAAATTATTGTATTCCTCTAAGCAATACATATGAGTGCCATAAAGATTTCAGATACATTAATCTATTTAGATAATAAGTCTTTGTTTTTTTTTTTTTGGAGTTTCTTTAAAAAAAAGATTTTATTTATTAATTTTACAGAGATAGAGAGGGAAAGAGTACATGAGTGTGGGGAGGGGCTAGAAGGAAAGGAGAGGAACAAGCAGACTCTGCACTGAGCATAGAGCCATACATGGGGCTCGACCTCACAACCCTGAGATCGTGACCTGAGCCAAACCAAGATTCGGTTGCTTAACTGATTGAGCCGCACAGGTGCCCCTGTAGTTTCTTGAAACAAAAATGTTAGTCATCTCTTCTAATATCTGTTTTAGAAGTTGCCATGTTTATACTGCCAGCTATAAGCATTACATTTTTTTTAGAGGGAAATAGACTAGCACTAATAATTTCTTTTTCTCTAGGTATTGCAGATTCTGTTTCTGCTGTATTTGTGTGATATGTTGGGAAGATCAAGGGACAGCGACAAAAATGAAGGTTCATAATAAGATGTAGCAAAGAACTCCATTCCCAGAGCTGTTCGCCTTCAGGCCACCGGCTCCTGGCCTAAGAGGACTCTGTGGAACGGTTTCTGGACCCTGGGATGAAGGTCACTTTAGGAATCTCTTCAATTTGAAGAGGATTTTATCTGGCTTGATTGTTGTTTTTGTTTGTCTTTAATGATATACTTCCAGTAGGATTGGAGGGGATAAGAATTTCTTTTCCTCTGTACAATATCATCACCAGCCATAGCTTACATTTATATACAAAAATGGTAAGCCTAGAATAAGGTGTGCTTCTCACAGTTACAATCACAGCCCTCGGAGATGGAATTTCCTAAAGATTTTGAAAGGGCAATTGCTTTACCTCCACAAAAGATGCTTACCCTTGAAACAGTAAAAAGGTCATATAGAAAGCAACAAAAGGACAAAACCACTTTTTAAGAGAAATTGATTGAAATTAAAGGACCAATATGGCAACTGTGTGGTAGGAAAAATTCCAGGAGCATTGCCTGAGAGACAAATTACTGTTTGGAAAATTTTGTTGTCAGTAGGCTTCCAGGAGAGTGTTATTTCTTCCTTTGTCCTCCCTGTATTGAGGAGGATGCCTCCTACTCTTTTTCTTGTTCTTTACTGTAATGCTCCTAAACATTCCAGGTGGTTTGGCTTCCCTGGCTAAAGAAGTCTCATTTTTCACTTTCCATTTCTATTTTATAACCATTTATTTGGCTCCATTTGCCTCTAAGCCTTTATCAAGTCAGGATCTTACTTATCTGTTCCTCTCCTCATTCCTAGGCACCACCCCTTTCAAAGCCCAAGCCTAGCAATCTGGGCTATCAGTCAAACTGACTTTCCCAATCTGTCTGTTTTCCCACTTTTCTGCTTACTTTTCCCAAACGCCCATACTAACCACGTTTTTATGTATCCTTTTGGCTTCTACGTGGTTCCAGTTCTTGATGCCAATGTTTTCTTTTGCAGAAGTCATCATGTGTGGGTGTGTGGCAGTGTAAGAACCTCAGAGCAGAAGAGCAGAAGAGCTGATCTTCTGACTAAATATAAGTACAATAAGTACTTATTCAATATTCAATGGGTTAATATAAGAAAATCATATCAAATATTGCATATGTAAACATTTCTTCTCTGAAACTTATGGTTGCTTTCTAATGTAGACTATCTTAAAGAAAACAAAATTTTAAATGTAACAGCAACCACTAAAAAAATTGAAGCCCTCCCATTTTCCTCTCACTTTTGAGCTTTGTTTATCTATCCCCTTTATTAGAAAGTGAAAATCAAAAACAAAACACTGTATTTCTTTGTTTTACACCAACCAGAAGCAATCTCAAAAAAAAAAATACTGTTGACTCAAATTTAGAAATGTTCCAGGAAGAAAAATATTGATATTCTGATTAATATTTTAATTATCCAAATATGTCAGAAGGGGACTGTGTGCTGGTTGTTTTAGCTTGTATTTATTTACTGATTTCTATACACTGTAAGTGCTTTCCTGATACTTTTTTTTTCAAATGTTAAAGACTTTTTAAATTACAAAATGATTAATACCTCTTAGCTGTTCTGGATATTGATGACATTTATAATAAAACAATCTATATTTTACTTTGATTGAAGAAGACTCTTGATAAGAGCATAACCTACATTTTGTGAACAGTGTTAATGTGCTTAATTCCCATAAGCTTTTCTCAGTTCCAAATCTATATATTCATGTTTTGGTTTTCTGTATAGACACCTGAACCTCAATGTCTATAAAATTACCCCCTTCGCTTCCCCCCTTCTAAAAAAAGAAGAAAAAAAAAAAGAAAAAGGAAAAAAACTTCCACACCTCCTAGAGTCTCTATTTTGGTTAACAGCATCAATATTATATAATCACCCAGTCAGTAGAAGTGAAGGAAATGTTACTAAATCAGGCCAACTACACTTTAGTAACCCATCACTTAATCACCTACCTTCCCTCTGTTTCTATGCTCCTTTCCTAGATGCATGTTCTTTAGTTATGTCTCAACTCTACTAGTCAGTAGTCACCAAACCCTATGTCCCCTAACACAGAGGTTCTCAAAGTATAGTCCCCAGACCCGAAGCCACATGAGGACTTATAAAACACTATTTATTTATTTGAGAGAGAAACAGCACTCCCTGCTGACTGTGGAGCCTAATGCAGAGCTCCATCCCAGGACTCATGAGCTCATAATCTGAACTGAAACCAAGAGTCAGTCAATGAACAGACTGAGCCACCCAGGTACCCCAAGACACTTTATTTTTATAAGTGCTCCAGGTGATTCTGATGGATGCTATTATAATCCATTTACTATGTGTCCCCTGGATTTGCATTTCTGTAAGATATTATGTTATTTCCCTGTTTTAAACCATTCAGGAATTCCCCAATGCCTAAAAGATAACATGCCAACTCTTTTGAATGACCTTTCATAGAGAAGCCCCTTTCTACCTATTTGCCTCAATCTCTGCTATTCTATGAGGACATATGCTGTGCTCCAGCCATAGTAAGCTACTTGAAGTTCCCCCAGTGGGGCTAAAGGGAAAGCAGTGAGATTTTCACATAATAGTTAGGAGTCATACACATAATAGTTAGGAGTCATAATGAAAATCATCAAGATGTTCCTGGATGTGATTTCACAAAGATCTCAAAGTGAATACTAGATTAGGCAACCTTACACAGACTTTGCAACTTACTTAAAAATTATAACTTAAAGTGGATCGTTAGCACTAGAAGCAATTTTGAGTGGGGCAAGGGTAGTAACTGGCATTATAAATGGTTTTGACTTTTACATTAAGAATTACTGATATATTCCTTGAGGGGGTGGAAAAAAACTCTTACAACTATCTAGTTTAGTCACACCAAGAAATAAAAATAAAAAGAGTTAAGTTAAATCATATAGTCTGTTAGAAGATAAACCTTGACAAATAGCATTTATTCTAAGATTCCAAGACATCTTGGTGACAGAGCATCTATTAGCATATATTTTTTATTACTTCATGAGACAAGTAAAGATTGAGGTAAGTATTTTCTTTAAAGATTTTATTTATTTATTTGAGAGAGAGAGACAGAGAGAAGCACAAGCTGGGGAAGGGGCAGAAGCAGAAGGAAAAGGACAAGCAGACTCACCGCTGAGCAGGGAGCTGGACATGGGGCTCCATCCCAGGACCCTGAGATCATGACCTGAGCCGAAGTCAGACATTTAACCAACTGAGCCACCCAAATGCCCTTTGAGATAAATATTTTTATCCCCTTCATATAGATAGATCCTGGGGCTTAAACTGGAATTTGTACCAGAATGGATAGTTAGTAAATGGCAGTGCCAGAATTTGTTTCCATGCTCACTGATTTCAAAGCCATTGTCTTTAGCCACCATGTTACTTGTCTCTGTATTTTTCAGCTAGCCACTCTCAGACACTCTGTACATGTGCACATGCACACACACACACAATCACACACACGCACAGGGCATTATAGGTAAAAGCAATTATATGAAATTGTTTATCTAGAGACAAACTAGATGACATGATCCTCATAAGAAAAAACTTCTAATTGAGACCAAAGAATAGTCAATTCCATCAAGAATTTGCTGCTTGCTTATAATCACCCTAGGTCAAGGTTGATATACATTTGGATTCCTTTGATAAAATTTTGCACTTCCTTTGTAAAAGAAATTCAGCTAAGTATTGCCAATATCCAGGCCAATCTAGAAAAAGAAGAATAAAGTTCCTGTCTGATCTAAACTCTTAATCTTGTACTTGTTACTAGAAATGAACTAAATCACTATTTAGTGTGTTTTCTCTTCTCTCTTCTGGAAACAACATTCTTCAATTGAAGGAACTATCACTCTTTCCCAACTTCACTCCTGCACTTACTTCTTCCCAGGGCTGGGAAGAGCACCTTTGACTTTCTGGTCCAGAGGTGCTGGGAGCTGGGACCTTGTTTGAGGAAGGAGCTGGTCTACAGCAAGGAAGAATAAAGCCAACCCCTAGAGAAAAGAAGAGATGAGATACAAAGTCTCCTCCAAGTGTTCCAGGAATATAGTATTCCAGGAACTGGCTCCATCCCCAGGCTGCTCCCAGTTGTTCGAGCTAGTGGAATTGTCCAGCAAGTCCCTTCTAGGCAAACTTCAGGTAGATTTCTGCCCTTGGTCATCAAGAGTCCCAATAAATACAAGCAATGTTTCCAAAACAATATATGGAAAAGAGACTTATTCTTATTATTTCTTAATTTTTTTGTGTGTAAGTCTTTGTACACAATGACACATTTTACTCCATAAAATACTTGAAACAGCTGAAGTTTACAAGCCCATTAAATTATGAAATGAGATAATGATTGTGTTAAGTGGTTATACTAAGGTATCAAGGGACACTGAGTTTCAATAGGAAAATCTTCTATGTACAATGTTACCGTTCAATTGAATTCACGTCTTATCTTAATGTTTAGTCTTATATTATCACAAAAATGAGTTAATAAAATTATTTATAGGATTAAGTCAGAGCACCACAGTGCTCACCTATATATATACATATACTACAGTAGGACTCTTTGTGTATCATGAAAATTCATAGAAAATTTTTAAAAAGACAGGCTGAGAAATCAATGTCTTCATAGATTTTTGCAGATTATTTTAATCCGATTCATCGCTGCTGAAGTAAGAGCTGTCACAGTATTCAGCCATGTAAAGGAACTTATGAATACTTGGGTTCATCTTCGGTATCCAGTGTCGGGGAACCAGATATGTTGAAAGATTAAATAAATCTACAAATACCTTGTACCTGTCACTGGAAAGACACAAATATACAGATGGTGCAGATTTATTGACATGAAATATTTAAAATTTCTCAGATAATGATTTAGTATTTAATATGCTTCATTATACATTATGTATTATATTTTGTGCATATTATATATGTAATATTAAGGAGTTAAGGAATATTACCATTAAGATCACTTCCTTTTCATTCCACATCCAAAGTTCATGCCCATAAAACAGTATTATGTGTTTCATTGATCCTGACCAGGCTGGTTCAGACTAAAACCCAGAGTCTTATGATTGTCATGCTACCTTCATGAAGATAAGGGTATGTTCTTGTTTCTGACTTTGAAAGGATGATATGCAAATTTCAAAAACATTTAAGCATACAAAATTCCTAGTTGTTCCTTAGAAAATATTTCCCACCTGAAAAGTAGCTGTCAAGTAACTGACATGAATGGATTAATAAATTGAAATGCCAACTTAGATTCTTAGTAAATATCTACAAATGTGGTTTTAACATTCACAATCACTCTTGTGTGTGTTAGTCAACTGTTTTAACTGTTGCAGTTTTATAGAGAAAGAGCATTTGCCTTTGAGGTCGAATGAGAGCTCAAATTCTGCTCTGTGACTTGCGAACCCATGTGACCTTGAACAAGTTGTCTAAATCTCAGTGTCTTGGTTCCAGACTCTGTGAAATAAAAACTACAACCCCTTCCTCTGACCAGGCCTTTGTGAAGACTTCATGAGACAATGGAACACTAGAAATGTTGCAAGTGTTCATTATTCCCACCATCCACTGATGTATAGGTCCATGTGGTACAATCATTGACTATTTCATGCTTACAGAATTTATCCCCAGGGAAAGAGAAAATAGGTGATGATCGCGAAAATTCAAACCAATGAATTTTATAAGTTGTTTAGTCTTGAGTTTGTCCCTAGGGAAAATGAAAATGTATAAAAAGGATGAAAAATTGAACCTGCGTGTCTTATAACTGTCAATCTTGTAGTAACATTAGGAATGAAAACCACGTGCAACATGAATTTTGGAGACTAAGTGTGAATATCTAATTTGTTCTTGAGCTGATTCTCCCTTTCCGAGGGGCCTTGTAAGTTTCCTGGTTTCCATATGTATGCAACTATCTCTATCTCCATCTATAATGTTGGGAACAGTAAATAAATTAACAATATAAATGTCCCATAAATCTCTCTAGTGTGTTTTAAGTGCTAAATAAAACTCAACCCATTTCCTTGAAAACACCCTCTGGGAACTCTCTGGAGTAGATGGGAGTAGTTTTTATAAAATAGAGTCATACCAGAAAGCAAGAAACTATTTTTCAGCTGTGTCATCCACCAGGCAAGAGGACTTTAGTGGAATGAATGATAACTGTTTGAATCTAGTCTGAACTTTTGAAAATGTTCCTCCCTGGATGAACTCTCTCATATCCTCACAAGTCGTGCGACCACAGGTACCATGCCCCTTTTCATCTCAGGATCAGAATTATGAAATTCCAAAATTAAGGATTTTTAAACGACCTCTCTAATAGGAATACCTTAATCTAACCAGTATAAATGTGTTGTCAGGAGTTCAGATGGAAGCAAGTATAAATCACATTTCCTAGATAATGTAGGTAGAGAAACCAAAAATCAGCGATTCTAGCAAGAAAAACAGGTGAATTTCCCCCATCTTACCTCACTGTTGAGCGCAGGTACTGATAGCCAGAGGACCCACCAGTGCCAGCTTTGCTGCCCAGCATTCTGTGGACCATGCACACATGGTTATCTAGGCAAACACACAGATTAACTCCATGGATATTTTTCTGCCATTAGTTCTACAATTTTCTAAAAACAAGGGGTTGGTAATGATTATTACTTCTGAGAAAAGCTTCAGCCCTTATCACTTAGCCATATGGAAGGTTTGCATGGGAGAGCCAAATGAGACCAGTAGGTTGCCTGGCACCCGACTTGGTTCAGGCTATATGCATGTGACTCCATCTAACATAATGATGGACCAGCCTGTGGACACAACAGGGGAAGAGAAGGGCAATATTATGACTTTCACAAGCCCTCACTGCCTTTGCCTTCATGGGTCCCTTCCTCCATTTAAAGAAAAAAAATACATATATATGTGTACATACACATATATATATATATATATATATATATATGAATCATATTTTAAAATTGCATTGGCATAAAGATGAATAAGTTATGATTATATATGAAGACATTCTACTTAACCTAAATTTAATTTTTTCTTCTGATTATTAAATAAAACATTTTCATGGGCCCCCACAGAGAGTCTGGGCCCTAGGCACTATGCTTCTTGTGTATAATGGGTAAATGGCCCTGGGAGAGAATAAATGTTGGGTTGATTTTAAAAAAACAGAACACAAAAAAACAAACTCATTCACCCACAAAGGGGGAAAGAAAAGATAGTGGGAAGGAGAGCAGACAGATGAAGAAAAGGAATAAAGGAACAGGATGGGAGGGAAGGATTATTGGGGTTGAGGTGGTAGTGCTGGAAGGGGTGGGGAGACTTACATCTCCACTTAGTCATGAGTGTGTCTATGTCCATGAGAGAAGTCAGCAGCTGAAAAGGCACCTGGAATCTAGGCTCTTCCCTAAAGAAGAAATAATAATGAAAAGAAATCTACTGAAGCAAACCCAATGTGTTCAGAGGCCGTAAGTTTTATAATCTGTTGGCTCTGGAAACAAATGTCAACTTTGCCTCTTGAGAGCTATAGCAGCCCTGAATTATTCTCAAACTTAGTTTCTTCATCTCAAAAATGAGGATACTATTACTCAACTTATAGCATTTGTTTAAAGGGTCTAGAATATTCCATGTAATATATGTGAAGTGACCAGGCAGAATCACACCCAACATTGATTCTCGTTAAAAGGTAGACATAGAGGCACCTGGGTGGCTCAGTTGATTAGGAGTCCAATTCTTGGTTTCAGCTCAGGTCATGATCTCAGAGTCCTGAGATCAACCTTGCATCTGGCTCCAAGCTGAGCACAGAGTCTGCTTGATATTCTCCCTCTCCCTCTGCCCCTCCCCTCAACTTGTGCATGCTCTTTCACTCTGTCTCTCAAATAAAAATACATCTTAAAAAAAAAAAAAGTAGATATATATTCTACCTCAGATTCACCAGCTTCTTCTAGGAAAAACTCAAAAACAAAAATTGCTTTTAATTTCCTCTAATACATATATTTTTCCTTTCTTCATCCATTTATTCAAAACTCTCAGTACATTTTCCGCTTCAGATACATAAACTTGAGAGGCATAACTGAGCAGGATTTTAGGAAAAGAGTCAAAAATGTTTTGTTGATGTTTCTGAAGAAATGAATTTGAGAAGTTTTTTTAAAGATTTTATTTATTTGAGAGAGAGAGGACACGGAGCCACAGGGAGGGGTAGAGGGAGGAGCAGACTCCCTGCCGAGGAGGGAGCCTGACTCAGAGCTCGGTCCCAGGACCCTGAAATCATAGCTGAACCAAAGGCAGATGCTTAACTGACTGAGCCACCCAGGCGCCCCGGAATTTGGGAAGATTAAAAACTCAAATAAATACAAGAGGTCCAATAAACAGAGGTTTTGTTTTTAATGTTTGCTAGTGTGTTCTCCATTGTTCTGACACATTTAATTTATGAAACATGAAGATGAGGCCTTCATACACATGGAATGCGAGTATATGGACATTTAAAGAACACCTCATGCACTTTAGACAGTGAGGACAATTTTACTTGAAGTTGCAAAATAAAGAAGATAACAATTTATAAAGTTGTTTCCACTTTATCCACCTTTTTTAATTTCATAAAACAAAAATAACTACAACATCGTTTAACGATGGAAGATATTTTGTGACAGTTTCTGAGTTTGATTAAACTTTGGCAGTTTAGGACACTTAATGTCATATAATATACTGTAGAATTTAATAAAAAAGATATTTAATTAATTAGTGGGTGTATATATGTATATTTCTATCCACTATAGGGATAAAGTTATACTCCTACTATCTAAAAGACAAAAACTAATGAATCTTCACAATTATTTTCTAAGCTTCCCTCCAAAACTTAATGACTTTTTAAAACTATGATTGCAGTTTATAAGCTTTATACCTGATACATTATCTGTACCCACTCCTCAACCTCTGTTCTACTCTTCTATTTTGCTTTTACCTGTAAAAATAGATCATCAAGGCCCCCTGAAGTGCTCTGTATGACAGTCGTCTTTCACCTACAGGATACATAGTGAGTTTCAATTTAATGAGGAATTTAGGGAAGTCATATTAATTTGGCATCATCACCTTAAATAATTAAGTTTTATGTGTTTTTAGAAAACAATGTGTAGGTTTAAATTTTTTATTCCTTAGATTCAAAAAACAAACTAATATGTATATCTATATATGCATATATATATATATAAACTTCAAATATATATAATATATATACATACTTTATATATGCACACTTTATATAATACATATGCATTTATAATAAAAATATATGCATTTTAAATTTTCAAAATCTTTAAGTATCATGCTAGGAGAACTTGATATAGAAAATACTTGACTTCTATGCTAAAATGTGTTTTTTCTAATTCACTTACAATTACTTAATTACTTAGAATCACTTGGCTTCAAGGAGTACAACCATTATATAAAATCTCATGTGTGTGTTCTACTAAAAGGCTTTGCTCTATCTGCATAAAAATAAGATTTTGCTATTCTTCACAGAAGTTGTATAGAAAACTGAGACTAACAACCTTAAAGTTTGTAGCATTTCATATTAATTTCATATACTGTTATGCCTTGTACCTATGTTAAAAAAATAATTTTTACCTCTGCTCATTTGCAGAAGATTTATAAAGGCTTTGTAATAAAAGTTCCAAATACAAATGAACACAAAAATTTCAAACATATAAAAGAAGAGTTAAATATGAAGGTATTGATGACACTGGTCAATGAACTTCAGAAAATAATAGCCTTACATTAATTATGCTAAAAAGTCTAAATATGTGCTCTCTCTGGTCTGCTTGGGAAACTGATTTCCTCTGCAAAGCCACCCTTGCCCTCATAATACTTATTCCTCTGCTCTCCACTACTGTACTGTTTACAATTACACTGCTTTTCTTAATTTCCATGCCTATTACATTGTGAACTAAATTGCAAAATCATATCTGATTTCTCCTGGTATCCTGCATGTCTGACACAGATTATGAAATCTTCTGACTACAACGTCTTTCAGATAGATTGGGCATGTAAACTTACCACTTAAGTTTATAACAGATAAAATTAAACCAGTTCTTGCTTCTATGAGTGTAATGTAAATTTTCATTTTATTTCATGGGCATGTAAGATTTTATATTTTGATCTCATAGTCATACATCCTGGGGAAAGGACCCTTAGAATGAAATACTCACCCTTACTATAGAGATGTTCATGACGTTTCTCATCAAATAAGGAGAGTAACACCTCTTTTTGTTTCTGAAACTCAGCCATTTGTTCCTCTTTTTCTTCTGACTCTTCCTTAGTCTTGGAGGAAGATATCACATTAATATCCCCCAAAGGAGGATTCTCATTTCATAGATTCTTATTTTGGAAAACATGTCTTCTGAGAAATAGACTCACCAGGAGCAGAAAGGGTGCACTTAGAATATTTACCACATCATCTAATACAACTTGAAACCTGTAGCTTATGAGATGGGTTTTCCTCACACTTACTGGTTCTATCCTTCTACTCATTTATATTACTTGTTAATCTCGAATATTATTTTCATAAATATCATGATAAATGGACTCAGATGGACAAAACTGCAGATAACAACAAGTGACTGAAATGTTCTAATTTTAGATAGCTATTTTTTAAAACAGAAAGTAAAGTAATTCCACTTAGGAAAAAATAAGACTTTCTAGTAAAAAAAACTATCCAATTAAAATTCTATATTCAGTATTATATATTGTAAGTATGATTTTTTAGACTTTTTCCACCCTCAGATATTTTTTTCATTTGCTATCTATTGATTCATTTAAGGAAATTCTTAGAGTTCTGCCTACTACATATGTTTTACTTACAATTCAATTCAGCTGAAGCAAAAATCAGTTAAGTCAATTATTTTTAGTTTGAACAATCACTCATGTGATGAGAACTTGTAAGTACATTATTATCGATTAATTACTCATTTATTTAGTAAATGTCATGCTAAGGTAATAGAGATAAAATCGTGAGCAAAAATTGAGTTCTCCGATCTCATGCAGTACATCATCTGATGGGAATAAGACATTGAATAAATAATCACCTAGTCATTACATTGCAAGTGTGGACAGTACAAAGCAGGAGCCATATAATGCCATGATAACTTACGGTAGTCAAGAGGTCAAGGGAGATCTTTTTTTTAAAGATATATTTATTTAAGAGAAAGAAAGAGAGAGAGAGAGTGCAAAGAGAGGGGCGGGGAGGGGGGAGAGAGAAAGAATCTCAAGCAGACTGCCTGCTGAGCAAAAAGCCTGATCCCAGGACTCTGAGACCACGGCCTGAGCCAAAATCGAGAGTTGGATTCTCAACAGACTGCACAACCTAGGTGCCCCAGGGGGAGATCTTTCTGAAGAAGTTCTCCTTGAACTTGAAGAATGGAATGAGTTACCTGGGGAAGAATATTTCAAGCCCAGAGAATAACATGAAAAAGATTCTGTGGTGATAAATTAAAGAACTAAATTCATCTTAAAAAAATTCAATATGGTTGGGCCACATGAGATCATGAATCACTTTGAAGAAAGGCTATGTTAAAGGTTTCTATCTTTATTTTAAAAACAATAAGAAGGAAATGCTGTGAAATGAGTAAGCATGATGATTCGCACACCTGTACCCCTGGAACAAATAATACATTATATGTTAATAATAATTTTAAAAAATTAAAAATAAATAAAAAATAAAATACCTACTGTTAAAAAAAAACAATAAGGAGGAATAAACACGTTTCATGCAAAAGCAGAATGTGATCAGATCTGCATTTTGAGAAGACTGCTCAAACTGTGGTATGCAAAATAAATTGGAATGGAGTCATACTGGGGAGAAGTAAAGGATAGTTTAGAGAAATCACGAGACCAGGTGAAAAACAAGAGCAGTTTGTATTTGATTAAGAGTGATAGATAAAATGGAGGTACCTGAGAGCTATTCAGAAGGTAAAATTGGTAGGATTTGGTGATAAGTTGAAGAAGTGATTGAGGAAGAGGGAGGTACCAACGATCAATTATACATTGCAGACTTGACAAATTAGGTGGTTTGTAAGGGAAAAATTTCTTCAATTTGCAGAAGACTGAGTTGATAGGAGCATGGAAGGAGGAGGGAATTTTTTAAGTGTGGTTTTATGGTTATGTTTTTGAGAGGACCAGGAGGAAATTATAAAGTAGGGTGTGAAATATGTTATTTGAAATTTAAAGAGCTATCTATGCTGGAGATGAATGTTTGAGAGTTATGGTTTAGAAGCAGATATTAAAACAGTGGGTATGAATGAGTCCATGTGGTGAGAGTACAGAGAGAGAATAAAATGTGTCTAAGCCAATGCATTGGGAAATCCCACCATTTATCAGTCGGAGAAGAAAATTGAGCCAGTAAAGGGGACAAATCAAGACAATAAGGGCCAGAGAATTAAAGGAAGGCAATGTCATGCCAAACCAAGGGGAAAGAAAATATCCAAGAAAGAATAAGTAGTCATTATTGAATGCCACCAGGAGATGAAGTAAAATAAAAATGGCCATCGGATTTATATACCTAGAGGCCATCGGTGAATGAGGGGACAAGAAGACAGACTGGATTGGGTTGAGGATTAGATGATAAAGAAATACCTATACTAACCATGTTCTAAATACCTTACAGATATTCACCTAATTTAATGCTCATAATAGTCCTACAAGGAAGATACTCTTACTTTCTATTTTACCATTGGTGAAAGTGAAGCGAAGAGAGTTTAAGTAACAGAAGAAGTTCCATGTCAGTCATTAAGGTGTGAAGCTGGGACTTGAATCCATGCAGTGTGACTGACTTAAAAGTTCCAGTTTTAAGTACTACCTGATGCAGCCTCTCCAGATATAGAATTGGAACAATTCTTTCAAGAAATGTAGTCATGAAGAGAAGATGAGAAATGAAGAATCAACAATAACATTCTTAAGATGAAAGAAATTCAAACTGAGAGCCAGTAGGAAGGGCCCTGCAAATATGTATGAGTCCTGGGAAAATTATATGGTTAAATATATTTGGTTGACTGGTCTTTTGTGAGCCTACTTCTGTCTAGAATTGGTCACAATATGAAATTTTCAATACAAGTTAAAAGGTTTATTAATCTGATATATTTATCAAAAACAAAATCTTATCTATAATGAAGTTCTTAATTTAGTTTTTATGATATATAAATAAGATAAAATTTATTATGTAATTTATTTCTTACAGATACATTTATGAAAAGAAAATAATATAAGGAAAATGGAAGTTTAAGAGAAAATTGGAGATTTGTTAAATTCTCAATATTTCATCTGTAATAAACTTATATTTAGTTATGGCATCATAAATACCTGAATTCTTGTGAATTCTTCCTCCAGGCCCTTCACAATGTTGTTTTCAAACTTTCTCCAGAAGTTAAATCCATGTGGCTCTAAACCTGGTGTTCTTTCCAGCCATGCCTGAAGTATTTTTTAAGTAAATAAATTATAAAATTTAAAATATGTAAAATACATTGTGCCTAACATCTATGAACTTGAAACAGGATATTTTCTTAATTTTGAGAAACATATGTCATGTGTTTTTTGTATATAAATATTACCTTTCCCTTCTATTTCATTTAAAGAACAGCAATTTATTATATTTCACTTCTTAATCTTTAAAGCAATCATATCAGTAAGTATTTACTCTTTATTTGTTAAGAAATAGATTATTACAGAAATCCTAACTTTGTTCTATAAATCTATGAACCTATCTAAATGTTGTTTGGATGAAGTCTTCTGGTTTATTCTCAAAATACCTTATGGCTTAGGAGCTGAAGGATGTAGGAGCATGGTATACTTAGCAACTTTGAAGTCAGTTAACAACTTGATTATTTTAAGAGTCCATAAGACTTTTTTTAAAAATGTACTTTAACTTCAGGAGAGTGAACATATACAAGATTTTTTTAATGTAAAATTTAATGTAAAATTTTTTAATGTAAAAATGAAACAAAATTAATGCATCTCTGTGGATTCTCATTTAACCTATTTTTCATTTTGAAATTAGCTTTGTGATTCTTTCTTCCTCAGTCTTTATGAGTTGTTTTCGGCATTAGATACAACATATTAACCTAAATCCACATTTACAGTACTGAGGGGATTAGTGTGCAGAGTAGAAGTCCCTAAAAGAAAATGTTAATTTGCAATTTGCAAAGGTTAAAAAAAAAAAAAAAAAAAACAAAACCTCTTGTTTAGGAAATTAGGACCATATAATCTTTATTTAATAATTTACTTATGAAGAAACAGTAATCCTTTAAGACCTTTTATAGACCCATAGGGAATTAAGTTATGAAGAGAACAAATTCTGAAGACTATACTCTTAGTAATTTAAGTTAATTGAGAAAAATACACAATGTGTAGAACTGTTCAATAATGGCATATTTTAAAGAAGTAAACCTCATTTAATAACTACACGCAGCTTAAAAATCAACTAATTAAATGTGGTTTAGTAGGCTTGTTTAAAAGAATTATTTTTTATAAGATGAGGTTATTAAATATTAACACAGCTGAGTATATAAATATTTCTGAAACTCTCGGGAGAGTTCTTTATAGTTTAAATATTTTAATTAGTTGAGTTTAAGTATTTTTATAACTTCTTCTGCTTTTATTTACAATGAATGTGACAAAACATTTGAGTTTTAAAATTTTGATCTAACAGAAACTAAATTAACAAGACGTGGGAGTAAGACTTCAAAGATAATATTTGGGTATGTACCTCCACTAGCTGCAGTAGTGTTTTCTCTTGCTCCGACTTAAGTAGCAGTTCATTATCTTCTCCTTTGAAGTTATCACGATAATGTCTTCGGTTGTAAGGGACCCTCAAACTCTGAAGGACACCTATCTTGTTTTCCAAGAGTCGGAATTGCAAACTCTGGAAGCCTGATGCTGGAGATAAGTACTCTCTGGATAAATGGAGGAAGGCAAGAGAAGAAAAAGAAGAGGAGGGTTGACATTGTAAATCACTGTTATGCTTTCTTCTCTTGAGAGGTCCTCAGTTTTATTCTCTTAGATATCACCAAGAACAGGGACACCACTGCCTAGAGTTGGACCTGCGATTCGATCTTCCTGAAGAAAGAAAATCGAGCTCCCTATACATCATTGTTGTTGTCAATTAATCAATTTAACGATGGAGTGTGTACACAGTGTGGGAAATGTCATATATGCATGTGCACATGTATATACATAAACACACACACACACATAGACACATGTGTTTATGTGTTTGTGTACTAATTTTTTCCTGAGATAAAGATACATGGACATTGTGCAATATTTCCTATTCTATAGTACTAAAAGATTCTTTACAGATTCAATCCCTCCTAAAATTTATATTCTTGGATATCATCATTGATCTCACTATCTAGCATCATTATGAACACAATGAGATATTATCAGTAAAACAAATGAGATATTGCCTGACACAAAATAAGCAATCAAAAAAATGTTATTACTTCCACCCCACAGTCACCCAAACTCTTATATCCTTCTATGTTTCCTTCATCTAATTGGTTTTAAGACTTCAATTTTTTAAAACCACCATGAAGGAATTTTACTACATTCTACTTGACTATCACACATGTTTGAGACACTGCCTATTACATGATTAAATGCACCCAATGTTCTTAAGAAAAGCTCTTCTATGATTTTGGTACAAAAAAACTTAAAAAAATACATATATATAGGGCTTTGGCTACCTGGAAATGCAGTGCTAACATTTATAGTTCAATCCATAACTTAAACTGACACTTTTGCTGACAGGTTTCCTGTCAACTCTTGCTTCTCTTTTATTTTTAGTTTGAAATTTTTAAAAAATTTAGTTATATGTGTTGTGTCAGTGATGTTGCCATTTTGATAAGTTATCTAAAATTCTTTTTAATGGCTTTTCAACCTTTGGGGAAGATCAAGTGTAAAATCCTTTTTAGATAAAAACAGGGCACACAACAATGAATTGAAATTAATCGATCATATTATGTTCATATGTAAAAGTGAGTGAAGGAATATTTTTATTAACTTCTCAAATGCTTTGTGACTAAGACTCCTTCATGTTTGTAGTGGCACAGTGTCAGTGGGACAGGCTTTTTACACAAAACACATGTTCCTCTTTTACCCCATAGGAATGAAAGGGTAAACACCACTGCCCCCTTTTTTTTTTTAAGTTAACAACTTTTTTTTATTATGTTCAGTTAGTCTCTATATAGAATGTCATTAGTTTCTGTTCTTTTTCTAAAGATTTTATTTATTTATTTGACAGAGAGAGAAATCATAAGTAGGCAGAGAGGCAGGCAGAGAGAGAGGGGGAAGCAGGATCCCTGCTGAGCAGAGAGCCCCATGTAGGGCTCCATCCCAGGACCCTGAGATCACGATCTGAGCCGAAGGCAGAGGCTTAACCCACTGAGCCACCCAGGCACCCCTAGAATGTCATTAGTTTTTGATGTAGTGTTCAGTGTAACACCCAGTGCACATCACAACATGTGCCCTCCTTAATGTCCATCACCCTTCTTACAAAGCCACCAGTCCACACCTGAAGTCATTGAAGTCCAAGGGCGTCATGGTTTCCAGGACGGAAAACTGCTGTACTAGTAGTTTCAGGATCACCGCCACCCGGTGCATCCGAGTAACAACCTTCAGCATGTTCCTTTCATCCCTGACCTGATGGTTAAGAAATGAAACATCAAGTAATCAGTCCTGTTATCTGGGAGATACAATAGACTATCAACAACAGTGTACCTCTATGGACTTTCTCTATTTATTTTATTTTATTTATTTATTTGACAGATAGAGATATCAAGTATGCAGAGAGGCAGACAGAGACAGAGAAGAGGAAGCAGGCTCCCTGCTGAGCAGAGAGCCTGATGTGAGGCTCGATCCCAGGAACCTGAGATCACGACCTGAGCCAAAGGCAGAGGCTTAACCCACTGAGCCACCCAGGCGCCCCGAACTTTCTCTATTTTAAAGAGGAACGTGGGAATTAAAAATTGCCATAAACATATATTGAATTAATAGCCACTTTGAGTTGTGTGTGAAGACTGTCTGCAAAAGAGGAGTCATTTCTATTTCTTTAAAAAGAGAAAATTATATGGAAGCAAATGAGAGGCCAATTTTGGAACACAGTAGCCACTGATGTCAAAGTAAATCTCTCCCTTAGTTGGCTTTGAGGAATAAAGGTCGAGGAAACATAGGCAACTTCTGGGTGAAGATTAAGCAACACCTGGATAAATCTGCTTTTTACTGAGAGCCTCAAAGTGGCCATTAACATAAGTGGGGAGAGCGCTCCATCCCAAGACCCTGGGATCATGACCTGAGCAGAAAGCAGACCCTTATCTGACTGTGCCACTCAGGTGTCCTCTTTTTCTTTCTTCTACCACTCTCTTCTTCTTCTTTTTGTTTCACTTTCCTCATCATTGTTCCTATCTCCCCATAGCAAGTATTCATTAGAAATAACATCTTGAAAGAAAACACACACACACACACACACACACACACACACACACACAAGAAATACAATTCTGGTCCCTATTATTTAAAGGATCTATATTAGCTATCTTGGCAATCTACCAACATATATAACAACTTTCTTTAAGGGCAAAAAAAAATCGAGTTCTAAACAAGAGGACTGAAACTGAAATTTGAATCTTAAAGCAATGTGTAGCTCTAGGGTAACAGGCACTGGGAAAGTATGACTACACACTTGTCCACTCAGAAGGGTTTTTTAAATGTTTCCATTAAGTAATAATTCCATCATTTAGTCATAAGTTTTTCTAATTAACAGTATTCTACATTCTCAAAAAAAAAGTATAAATCCAACATTGTGACATGAGAACTCACATGGCCATTCTGAAAGATCTCTCGAACAGAATCTAATTCCCAGAGGATTTGCTTAAACCAGAGTTCATAAGCTGCAATGAGAAAAATCATTGTCAACTTGAAAGTTATGGTAGCATTTTTTACCATAATTATATAAAAGACAGAGTTAACACATCAAAAAAGAAATAAATGTAATTTTAAAACAATAAATACTAATATAATCTTATATTTATACAATAAACAAATATTAGTGTTAATGTTATGATAGTCTTCTTTCATTGAATGTTTTACTATGCCAGCCATGTTTTCTATATGCTTCATATTCATTATTATTATTTTTACTTCTTTCAACAAATAAATTGTCTAGGTCTTTTAAGATATAGCACATAATCTAATTCCAATTTCCTGTGGAAGCTAGAGGTTTATGCGAAAGCAGAAGTGACACTCATCTCCATTCTATACTAAGATATTAATAATCACTAACCTGAAGAATATGACAAAATTTTGTTTTCTGGACGCTTAGAATATTATGGAGAGGACAAGCTTGTGAATAGCCTTAAACTTCATTGTATTTATCTATCTCCCTGAGTACCTAGCACAGTGCTTACATAAGATAAACATTGGGTGATCATTTTTTTTTAAATTTTATTTATTTATTTGACAGAAGAGATCACAAGTAGGCAGAGAGGCAGTCAGAGAGAGAGGGGGAAGCAGGCTCCCTGCTGAGCAGAGAGCCCGATGCGGGGCTCAATCCCAGAACCCTGGGATCATGACCTGAGCGGAAGGCAGAGGCTTTAACTCACTGAGCCACCCAGGTGCCCCAGGTGATCATTTTATGAATAAATGAACTAAATAGCCAGTGTAGTCATTATATAAGCATAGAATATCAAAAATCTTAGAGATAACTGGTGCTTTCTATTTGGTGCTATTGTGTGGGTAAAGGCTATGGCTAAGTGGAGGAAATCAGATCATAATTTTAAATTATATTTAAGAAGACTTCCAGGAATCTAATTTTCATATATGGACCAAGAGAAAATCAAATATTTATTAATCAGTTTCTGTATCTTTTTATTCAGGTTTAACTTTGTGTGACTAGTTCCATGACCCACTAACCATGTGACATAACTGAAGGATGGGAGGACAGTCTCCTCATCAAATCATGATAGTTCCCATTTGTTGTATGCTTATCTTGTGCTAAGTGCTCAATGCACATTAGCTCATTTTATCTTCACAAAACTCTATGAATAAGAAGATAAAATAATTGTCTCCATTTTGCAGATGGAGAAATAGAATTATTGCTCAAGAAATCTGATCAAGGCCACATAAATTTACAGTGGTAGAGAGAGGATTCTAAACAATTTTCTGATTCCAAGTATGTGCTACCCTGCCATGATTCCTCTTCTATTGATTTTTGTCTTAGCCTAAATCACCAATAAAAATGTAAACATGAAAACAGGAGAGGTAATACATCAACTCAATTATTTTCCACCTTCATCTTTTTACTCCAAGGAGCTGATCATTTTAACCAGTCAGTGAAGCAAGCAACCAGTTGAGGAAAAGACACAAAGAACAGGTAGGGAAAGAAAAAATGTCTAGAAATGGAGCACTGACTAGTATGAATCGTTGGACCTGGTCAGACAGAGGACACTATTATGCCTCCAACAATTTTAGAGTAAATCTTAATATGCTGGGGTCACAGGCCTCTTTAAGACACATATTCATGAAATTCTGCACACAATTTCAATGAGTCAGGTACTTTCCAAACTCCTGAAATCATGGATTCCTACATTAAAAACCACTGCCCAGAGGTAAGAAGTCTGGAGAGAATAAATGCACACTTTAGACAAATTTTATATTTTTGTTTAGTACTAGATCTATATATAATTATGTAAAGTCACAATAAATTTGAATGTCTAATTCTTGAAAATAGTTTATTTATTTTTGGGGAGGGGGTGGGGCAGAGAAAGGAGTAGAGAGAGAATCTCCAGCAGACTCTCCACCCAGCAAGTAGCCTGATGTGGGGCTCCCTCCCACAACCCTGAGATCATGATCCAAGCTGAAATCAGGAGTCTGAGAGTTGGTCGCTCAACGAACTGAGCCACCCACACATCCTTTGATTTAAAGTTCTAAGCTGAAAAACAGTACCATCTTATCTTGCAAATTCCTTGTGAATTCCAAGAGATAGAAAGTTCCCTTGGATTTAAGAAAGAGCTAAACTTCTACCTGATCCAATTAGCAGCAAAGTAACATAAAGAAGACTGTTATAAATTCTAGAGGGATGCCTTATGAGAATTTACCCAGCAGCAAAATATTCTGAGCATTTCTGAAGGAAGTGATTCCTTGATCTTTCAGCATGCTTTCCTCATTATCATCGGGAAATGCATGTGGAATAGTTACCATCCAATCTTTTGTGCAACTTACCTTGATGAGTTATGATAAAAAGATGTTCATCATGGATTTTATTTCCTTTTATTTCACTTTGAAGTTCCTGTGCATTCAAAACCTTTTCCAACTTTAAACAAAACAAACAAACAAACAAAAAAAGACAGACTAATTATGTATAAACTTCCAGTTATAGGTTGGACAAGTTATAGGGATCTAATGTACAGCACAGTGATTATAGTTAATAAACTTTATTATATTCTTGAAAGTTGCTAAGCGAGTAGGTCTTAAATGTCTTCACCACAAAAAAGAAATGGTAATTATGTGATACAATGCAGATGTTAGCTAATGTTATGGTGATAATCATTTTGCCATATATAAGTGTGTCAAATTAACATGTTATATACCTTAAGTTTATACAATGTTATACATCCATTATATCTCAATAAAGTTGAAAAAATTTTAAAAAAAGAAAAATTAATTTTGAAATTGTAAATCTTATTTTTAATCAATTTTAATAAGAAGTAGAATACAATATCGAAAAAAAATCCCCAAATTCCCAAATTCTCCAGAAGCAATCTTTTAAACAATTCATGAGTCTTAATCACAAAGAATGAGTTAAATTTATGATTTTTATTCTTTTCAGAACAACTTGTATTGGGTAGGATTCTATGTAACAAATACAACTGTACTCAGCGAGAAATCATAACCCTTTTATCTCTTGAAATGAGTATGATAAAAGCTTGGTAACTTACTTAGCTCACTGTTTATCTTCTACTCTTTTATCCTCCAAAGACCCTATTCTAAGAAGATTTTAACATTCTTTATCAGCTCATCCCTAGCAACCCATCAATGAAAGCATCAAAGGCTCTAGACATTTTACTTCTTAAAAAATATAGAAGACAAACAGGCCACATTTATGGTCTCCAAATACTGCATTTGTAATATCCTTCTTGCATTTACTAATGATTTCAAGAAAACATGTGTCTTCAACATTTCTACTTTCCAATAAGGGATTTAAAAAACATCATCTTTTTGGATACATTTGCAATGATCCACGCTGAGATATACAGACCATGTCCTATCTGTGCGAGCTGTGCAATGTCTGCCAGTTATCTCCACTTTATCTTATCATTTACGCTCTTCTGCTTAAGATTCCGCACTCTGCTTGGACCGTACCTCTGTCAGAGAGGTGAATTTTCATATAGGAGTCACATGAATTGTGCTAACAAAAGTTGAAAAGCATACATCTGTGTCTTTACATCCAGAAAACTTTTTGGTGATTGAGAAAAACAAAACAAAACAAAACATCCAAAACATGAAAATGTCACTTCGCAGAATTTAGCACCTAACTGTGAAAGCTAAGCTCTACCACTTACATGCAGGTAGTTTCCGTAGATAAGTCCTCCTTTGCTGGCTTTATTCACACCGGTTTGTGATTTGTCTTCTTCATTGCCTTCTATGGATAATTTTTTAAAAGCACCTCTGCAGATTTAATAAGGGAGAAGAAAAACAGGAGATCTTGAGAAAGCATAATAACTAATAAGATGAGAGATCAAAATTCTCTCGCTAATTGATTTTAAAGGAGATTTTTAACAAGAGAAGAAGGATGGCAATTTTGAATGTTTTTGAAATTCAGAAATTGCAGTGTTCTTATTTGGCATTTCTAAGATCCTGACCATCCTTCAAATAGAGGTAAATACTCACCCAAAGTTGTTTCCTAAAAATGGGCACCCACTCATGGTGAAAACACACCGTCTGTGAAGCACTGAGGTTTGACTTTGGAACGATGATATCATTGACCTTCCCAGATGTTCTACCGCTGCCTTTTATTTCTCCTGCTGTCTCTGAACCAGCCAATCAGCCCTCCCTCTGCGCTCTTAGGTAGGCTCTCGTTTCAATTGGGACAGAAGCTGAACTCTGTAAACTTTGGAGAGGATCCGTGTTGGGGACAGTATGTTTGCTAAAAGATGTGAGCATTCTGCCAGATCAAATCATTTGACTAGCTAAGTTCTGCTTTTATATCCAAAATAACAAACATTAAATAAATCAACGGAGGCCAAATTTAAAAAATGACATTGAGTTATTCTATTCCAAGGACACACTTGGCATAGTGTTAGCATATATAATATAGTGAGCTTGTAAAAAAACAAATATTTAGTCTCTCAGTTTCAGATTGGGATATTCTTGTAACTACTAAGCCAGAAGCTGACCTGGAGCGTGACAGAGGCAGGGTTCATGCACAAATTCCATTTCCATCTCATTTTTACTGTTCGTCTGGCCTAAATCTCAACTAATTAGCAGCAGTTGGGCTGCTGTATTTTTTTTTAAATTTTTTTTTTTTAACCTTTTCATTTGAGAGAGATACAGAGACAGAGTAAGCACAAGCAGGGGGAGGAGCAGAGGAAGAGGGAGAAGCAGACTCCCCACTGAGCTGGGAGCCCAACAGGGGGCTTGATTCCAGCACACCAGGGTCATGACCTGAACAGAAGGCAGATGCTTAATCTGCTGAGCTACGCAGGCGCCCTGCAGGCTGTATTGTATTGGAACTTACATGGACATCATTCATTTACTGTTTACCTGTAGCACAGCAATTATAGGACCCTGGGGGTCATCCACACTGGGGTACTTTGGAGGTAAGTTAAGAATAATAATAAAGGGCCACAGTTCTGAACAATGTCAGTGATAAGGTATATTTTCCTAGAACACATTATTTATGGGTCTCAGTTCTAAACCGAAATTCTAGACTTTATTTCTAGTCCTCGCTCTGCCACGGATGAATCATATGCTTCAGGGAAAAGTGGTTTAACTTCTCCAAGTATCAGCTACCTCACCCAAAGAAATGAAAGTGTTCCAAACGGATCATAATTTCAAAGATCCTGACCCACCCCAAAATCATGATTGTATGAAATTCTTTTTTTTAAAGATTTTATTTATTTGACAGAGAGAGATCACAAGTAGAGAGAGAGAGAGAGAGAGAGAGGAGGAAGTAGGCTCCCCGCCTAGCAGAGAGCCCGATGTGGGACTCGATCCCAGGATGTATGAAATTCTTAATAAATGACCATGTTTGCTGCAGTTTATAGAATGCTAGACCACACGAAAGTGCTGTGTTGTAAGAGGACTGGGAAATCATCAAAACCATACCCCGGACCCCTCATATTCCCTTGGGGATTTTACAGGTGACTCTGGCCTTGCTCATACAGTGCAGAGGGGGTTTTGTGGGAGAGCTGGAGTCACTGTCCTTAGGGCCCTGGCCCATGGTGTTTGGTGGCAGGAAGTGTTTAATAACTCTTCTTTCCCCCACATCATTGTTCAACTAGCTATGTGTTTACAAAGAATACAGCTAAATAATTGATTCTACTATCTTTAAGTCTTTGGCATGGAGAAAAGGACTTCCCCTCGTGGTGAACATATTAGTGAAAGAAACGAGGAAATGTTTTTTTCACTATAAATTAGAAAAATTAAATATTTTCAAAGCAACACAGTTTTCTTTTCTTCTCCTCGTCCTCCCCCTCCCTCCTCCTCCTCCTATTCCTCCTCCCCCTTTCTCCTCCTTCTCTTTCTCGTTCTTCTTCCTCTTCTTCTTCTTTTGAAATAGGATTCCACCTGGATTTTCAAAGTAGTGTCAATTCAGCGGTTAACGTTAGCAACACAGGAACCAATTTTTCAAAGATTTAAATTTAATGCATTAGAGAAATTATAAATTAATCTAAGAAAGTATTGTTGCCTTTAGCCGGGAGAGTAACTATAATGGGAGTGCCCTCAAATACATATATTCCCATTAATTTTTGCATTTGAAAGTATTATAAGATTTATGACTGGTTATAAATATATAAATATATGGTCAGCATCTTGCCAACACTTAAGTCTTGCCACTTGGAAACCAGTTTCTCTCTCTTTTTTCTTTAAAAACAATTCTATTTATCTATTTGACAGAGAAAGAGAGATCACAAGTAGGCAGAGAGGTAGGCAGAGAGAGGCGGAAGCAGGCTCCCTGCTTAGCAGAGAGCCAGATGCGGGGCTTGATCCCAGGACCCTGAGATCATGACCTGAGCCAAAGGCAGAGGCTTAACCCACTGAGCCATCCAGGAGCCCCAGAAACCAATTTCTCAATCTGATCTTTACTTCAGATTAAAAAATTGTTCCTTAATGATCAAATGAAAAACATCTAACCAATACAGTATTTGCTGCCCCCAAGATATTTTACATACAGATATTTTACACAAACTTCCTAGAAATACACTCTCACTCAAAGAATCAAATATAAGGATGAGAGCCTCAGGCTTTATAGCAGTTAAATAGAGGAGAACGTATGGGTAAAAGGCAACCATTTGTGGTAAGATATACACTTATTGTATATGCATTGAGGTCTGTGTACACATTGATTACAGAATGACTATGTTAAAGGTAAAATGGACTGATAAGCCTATTTGGAAGACACACAGCATGACCAATTCTGAGCCTAGGAACAACATAATCTGTTTTAGAAGTAAAAGTAATAAAAACCTGAGAGACACCCTGAGTGGCTCAGTCAGTTAAGTGTCCAACCCTTGATTTCGGTTCAGGTCATAATCTCAAAGTTGTGGGATCGAGCCCTACACTGGGCTCTTTATAGCCTGCTTAAGATTCTTTGTTTCCCCCTCCCTCCCTGACACCTCTCTCTTCCTCTCCAAAAAAAAAAAAAAAAAAAAAAAGAAAGAAAGAAAGTAACTTTTTAAAAAATTTATCTCATAAAAGAATATAAACAATAAATTAAGACTACTAAAACCAAAACAGACATCTCTGGTTCTTCCTTGTGTTTTTTTAAGATTAGGATATAGAGAAGTGAGCCTGGAAGATGAAACAAAGACAAGAATTAGCAGGATCAGGTGTTGGGCTAAATTTGCAAAGTGAATAGGAATTTTCTTTATTCCTTCAACCATCACAGTATGGTTTCCCCCCAAAAAATGGCTCTATGTAACCAGTTATAAAATGTTACATGTTCTTCTATTCCATAACCCTCAAAGCTTAGAATTACTGCAACTTCCACCCCTGCCCTATAACCCAACTGTTCACATTTTTTTTTAGTCAACAGTTAAGTGTTGTGGCAGACACAGAAACGTAAGCCAAGAAAGGAGTTCTCATGGATAAATGTTCCAGCATCTTATTTTTCAGAAGATAGTTTTGAAGGCACTCTGCACTCTTTTCCAAATATCCTGGAGGAATCCCAGTTATTCACAGCACGGACCTCACTAAGGAATCCTTTGGCTTTTCTTCTTTCCCTTCCTGTCTCACGCTCCCTGCTCTCTCGCTATTATTCCCGGGAATGTCTCCCAGGTCCTTGTCTCAGGCGTTGCTTTGGAGAAGCCAAACTAATACATACAGCTCTTATTCACTGTGAGATCTAATACATTTAGGAACTGAATAGTTACTTTTTTATTTTCAAAATATTTTTTAATTTCCCAGCTAAGAAGTTTCTGTGAACATAGCAGCCATTCAAGAAGCCATTCATTTGTTTGATACAGTGAGTTACCATTTGTTATATAAAGTAGTCATTTGTTGTTGATACTGTTTTGTTGTTGCTGCTGTTTTGTTTGATTCTCAAAGAAGGCAGCCCAAAGAGAATTAAATCCCTTTACTGGGATTTAGTTACACAATAGAAGTTTTTTCCAAAGTCAATCCTATAAACTTGAGTATGGTCATGCATAAGTGATATTTGCTTGTTATTATTAGGACAGATCCAAGAAAAGACAAACAAGAAACTATTAGGACACTAATTTCAAGGGAAGGGGTACTCATAATGTTAATTATGGATCAATTAGGAGATTATTTCTTTACTCATGTGAATTTAAGGTAACTAGTTTCCAAAGGGAAAAAAGAATACATTGGGAGATGTGTTTATGTAAGGGTGGCCTTAAGCCTTTGTGTAGGTGAGAAAACTGTGTATCTCACAAAGCAGAAGTATCAGAAAAGAGCTGTGAACCAGGTGACCTTTTGGTTATCCTGGACTATGGAATGTGATATTTGTGGAAAATGTTTACAGATAAACTCATATTTTATTTCCTTATTTTCCTTATTTCTTAAAAACTGTGGACATTAAAAAAATAATTCCATTGATATTTCAAATGTGAATTGTAATAGTTTAAGATTTTATTTATTTATTTAAGAGAGAGATAATGAGAGAGAGAGAGAGAGAGGGTACGAGAAGGGGGGAGGCTCAGAGGGGGAAGCAGATTCCCCACTGAGCAGTGAGGCCAATGTGAGACTCGATCCCAGGATTCCAAGATCATGCATGACCTGAGCCGAAGACAGTTGCTTAACCAACTGAGCCACCCAGGCATCCCAGTAAATTGTAGTAATTTCAAATTCAAGGTTATAAAAACTGTTTTTTGTCCACTTTGATGATGTAAAGTGTTGTAAAACTCCAATTGACATTTTAACATTTATTCTTGACCCCAAGGCCAAATTAGATACGTTGTCATTTCAAATTTGTCACAAATTAATGTTTTTCATTATCAAATTTAATATAATTTTTAGATGAATGTAATATTTATAAATGAGAAATGATTTTAACATTATCTGTTTAGTATGACTTGTACAGAAACAAACTATGATAAAATCTTCATAAATAAGTTTTGAAAGCATGAAGAACATACTTTATAATCAATTGACCAAATAAAATCAATGAAATGATGAAAAAGCTTAAGTACAGTAGCCATAATATAGTTTGAATCATCTGAAATTACGCTTTTTTAAGTCCAAATGGTTGATATCAGCAATTTCATATGGTTCATCTTATTATCATTAAAGTAATATTTAA